AAAGGTACGATAGACTGCGCTCAGAGGTGGAGGATATGCTGGACTTTATAATGGTAACAGCGAAAGTCAACCTGACCGTCTGGTAAAACGTCATGATAGTTTAACTTTGGTTTCTTTTAAGAAGAATCTTTTCAAATACTTTAAGTATGATGAAGCCTGGTTTGAAAGGTTTCTGGAAGAGGATGGTGTTCGAATATTTCCGCAGTAATGGGTGAATATATAACTGAACAGGTAAATTGCTTGTATAATAATAACCAATGACTGTATCTGTTTAACCACGATTTTTCTCGTAAAGGAAACTCATTTAATCCCAGGAATAATCAGTATTTCAATGGCGAAAGTAAACATCTTGACTAAAAGACCAAATAAATACACTCTATCTGTCGATCAATTAAATATACATACATAAGTGGCTGGGAACGTAAAAAAACTTTAATTAATTTATTTTTAAATGCTTTTTCCTTTAACTTTTCAACTGGATTTTTGAAATGCCCGGACACACTTGACTCACTCTCTAATTTGTTCTTTCCTTATGTACTTAAAACTGTGCACTTCGAATCTTGTTAAGGTTTTTTATTATAGAAATAACATCAATTTCTTTCCTACTGGTTTTATTTATATCAATTATGAAATTAATTACATTAGTTGACAATGTTAAAAGACTTAATCCACAGAGGGTTGCGTCAGATTTTAGGACGTTATCGCGTATGTAATTTTCCTCTATGTTCTTTCCTCCCGACGGCTTGTTTACTGGAGATAGCGGACACGATTCGAGCATATTTCAATGACGGAGGCACATCGTCATCCTTATCGTACGTCTGATTTTTTTTTTTTTTTGTAACTTAAATTTCTGCCATTTAATCCACCGTCACACGTATTACAGATTCGATTGTGAAAAAAAATAGGTCTACGGCGATCTGTTCGAAACGATTATCCTCCACTTCGACTGTCCTTGTGGATTTTGACGGTCAAATCCGATCGAATTGCTCTACACAAACGGGCCAATCGCGGAACGGAATTTCAAAAAATTAAATAGACGTTTAAATACATAAATGCCCTCCATTTTAAGCGTAATTTATTCGGTGTGGAAAAAAGAATGGCAAGAGCACTTTAATGAGGTAGCCATGGGGTGGAAAGAGAGAGAGAGAGAGAAGAGTGAATGAGGGAGAATTTGTGAGGAAGACAAAAAAAGAGAAAGTGAGTGAGTCAGAAAGAAGGTCTCTTTAAGATAATAATAAGATGTTCATAGTGATTTCTCCCTCCAGTACTCTTCTAAATAGATAATACAAAATGAAACATCAATGGACTCAATAGGCTTCCTTGTCTAACTCCTATGCCCACATTTAACGATTCTGTCCTCCCTAAAGGCGTTCAGACAAAAAAGTTTTATCTCAAGAAAAAAGCTCTTTTAATAAAATATCACCACTCGACATTTGTAGTGCTCAATGCTTATTGCACGAACTTATTTGCGTCTGTTTAAATAGCTAGCTAATTTGACAACTAAGGAAAGTCTAGTGTTCCAGCAGTTTGTGTGACTCCACCTTGGAAAACAAAGCGCATTGCATGAGAACGTTCCTGAATATGACCCAAACTTTTTGCTCACCCAAAGCGTCCTCTATAAACTTAAAGCTTCCCGCTTAATACCTTACTCTGGAATCCCATTTAAACCGCTGCTTCAGAGTGTTCTGAAGGACGAATACACCTCAATACAGATGTCCTAAGAGATTCCCCCCCCCACAGCTTTAGCAATCCTTCGACGAGCTTTGCCATCACATGATGGCCCATTATGACACCCCAAATTTTGTGCTCAAAGCAAAAGGACAGAGCAAGTTCGACAAAGGATCCCTGATCCAGCATCGGCTGCAAGGGATCGAGATTGGAATAGTGATACGATTATGTACACTAAAGTTGAAAAAATGAAATATAAAAATAACTATGAAATATTAACAGCACGATAGTCTCTGAAATGGGTAAAGAATTTGATCTAAACAGCTAACAAAAAATGGAATTAGACTTGCTTAACGAGTTAGAAGAATCCAGGAAAGAACATGCTTTTCAGCCGACCCCGACATAAATGACTGTCGCCGTCCTTCCTCAAGACAATAAAAAACTGTTTGGCATTGGTGGGTAAAGGGGCTTTAAGAGTCAGTCCCACCCTGTATACCATTTACACAGGCTTGCCTATATAACCCAACACCTATGAGTTACTGCAATCTTTCTAACCAAGCAACTTCCAACATCCAAGAACACCAAAGACTGGTGCAGAAAGTGGAAAATGAGAATGAATGAGGAAAAATGTACCCATTGTACATCAACGACAAGAAGCTAGTGACATCTACTCAAGTCAGATATTCAGAGCTATACCTAAACAAACTTGGAATCCCCACACAAGACTTAAGAGACAACTTAACAGATGACTTGAACAAGCTGATGATAAAGGAAGTTTTGGTTGCTTCTTTACTCGTTACTTCGCCTGAGGCCCTGCCTCCCTTTGGGAAAAGTGACGATCACCCATCTAGTTCATTCCTATTATTGGGCTGCTATACAGCAGATCCCAGTATCACCATTAGACGCAAGAGGTGATCCTAGAACCTTGTCCTCCATTGCACATCACCAACAAAAATCTACCGACTTCAACTCAAAGCAGATACATATGACTAGAGCTATCTTCTGACTTTATTCCAGTATAGTTTGCTTTCACTTCTTAAGTGTCTGGGGTCTTTTAGAATGGCCCCGCTGCTTGGTTGTTGGAGCTACTGAACGCCGTGGGCTCTTGAGCAGGCATGGCTGCTAGCCACCGCGGCTGTGATGCCGTGCAATGCTGTTGTCGTTCGTGGCGTGTGTAGATTAGTCAGATGATGCAGCTGATTACGGTAGCGAGCGAAAAGCCTTGTGCAGCTGTTGAGAGTGCGGTGAGTTTAAGAAGTGAGAGCCTTGCTACTAAAGCTAATGTTTGCGGCTTGCTCCTTTAGTGAGTGATGTTTATCATGTCGACAATTTTGCTCTAAGAAGTTGAGCCCCTACTTATACGCATGCATGTTGAGACTATGCTCCATGGAAGGCGGAACCATTATTGAAGCAGTGGCGATTTCTAGTGGAAACATTTGCTAACCACAGACAATCATTACACGTCTAACGGTTAGACTGCACCTCCTTAAGTCCCTATCAGTATTCCAAACCTTTATCTGGTCTCCCAAGGGCTTTTGGGAGACAATCCCCTCGATCTTGCAATTTCGCTAAGTTTGGTCAAGTGTATTGCTTTGCCTCTCTTAGTTTGATGACGTGGTAGTATGGGCTGGGTTTTTCTCCTAGCTCTATCCCGGGTTACGGGTGCTATGCTGGATTTTCGTTCCTTTACCTTTTGAGCATTAGTGTATGATTATGGTGACCCTGTGGTTGAATAAAGTTTCCACTAGGCATCGGGACTGCTTCAACAAAGGTTCTACCTTCCAAGCAGCAGCCAATGAGGTTGCAGCACCCCTGTATATAAGCATTCGATATATTCTGTATTCTAAAACATTGAGCCTAACAGATATGTAGTGGCCACTTGAAGTTACCACGTTACCGCTAGATGCCACTCCACTTATGGAATGTTCTCGCCCTCCACTCTGCAGCCAAACAGAGTAGAGCCCTTCGGAATATGAGCAGGGGCACTGCCCCATTGAAACCAGATTCGTCAACCCGACGAGCTCTCACCAATCACTAATGGTAATGGAACACCGTCGACGACAGCAAGGGTACTCGCAGCATTAACCTGATTCTCGCCTTCTAAACACAGCCGACTTGGTTATAAACGCCAACTGCTGCTCTCGGCTAATTGCTGCAATCTAGGACCTTTGGCCTATGTGGAGTCAACCGACTCACGGCCCCGGACCTCAGCCAACGGTTCACTCGGTCACAGACCACGCACACGGTCTTGGCCTCGATCCATCGTCTCGACGCTACGAAACAACACCGGCGCTTTTCAGGGCCACAAAACTCCCAGCGACTAAAAGGTTCATCTTGTAACCTCCCGGACATTTCGGTCTTTGAAGTAGCTTACCATGTCTCTCAAAATGTTTTGGGGGAGTCTTTTTTGTTAGTTCGTTCAAAAGGGGTGTCCATGAGACGAGATGTTTCACAGAATTCTGTCTTAAATTAAGTTACACTGTGGTCACACAAAAGGCCCAGAGGATTGTTCTTCTGAGCTCAACTCCTACTATGTGGTGGGTAAAAGGTGTTCAGCTGATGGTACAGTTTTTTAATCTGTAACGTTCTAGCATTTCTTAAGAGTTGTTCTTAACATATTTGTTAAATAAACAGCCCTCTTTCTGGGTCCTTTTCTTCCTTTAGGGCTGGACCTGCACATCACTCTCGAAACCCTAAAAAATACGACAGGGCCTAACGCAGACACCTATATGCATCGTCTTGTAACTTCGTGCCAAGGAGGTCGCTATTACGGACTTTCTGAGTTCTGAAATAGCTTTCGCGGCTTTGTTCCTGTAGATTCAATAGCCCAATGTCCAACTGAGCCGAAGGCACCTTAAACGTCGAAATGGAAATTTTTATCTCGACTTTCACGGCGACTTGCTATCCCTCATGGCTTGTCCTTTCCTCTTTCTCAGCGAATTCCTTCCAACCAAACTTTGCTTTTGCTTCCCGCTAAGTATTTCGACTGTCTTTGAGATACCATTGAGTTAACTTATTATGTATCAAGCCTGTAGAAGTCCTTTTTTTTTAGATATAAAGACTTTATTTCCCTATATCTCAAAAAGGCCCACTACAGGCTGCATGTATAATAAGTTAAAACAATGGAACAAAACAGAAATACTTAGCGAAATATATTATACAAGTGCTGTTTGGCGTACTTATTAAAAACCTCTGTAGTTGAAAAACGCAGCAAAAATGTATCTTCTCTGCGAATATTTAATAAAAAATAAAACTTTAAATTATAATTTGCTATTTTTAAGTCGTTCAAATAGGTTTGTTTTTAACTGAACATACTTTGACCGTTTGAGACACATCTCCCCCCAGTTCAAAAGACAGGAGTAATCGTGACATTTGCCGGTGTCTCGAGTTCCTTGGGGTTTTCATTTGTGCTAAAGGAAAAATAACTACGGTCTTTTTCATGATAACATTGGTGTTTTAACGATGGATTGGAGCAAAACTCTGAAGTGCCTTTTTGAAACCGGCGTTTATTCCGATGTACTACTGTATGTGCACGGTGGCGTGAACTCAAAGGTACTTGACCTCCATTAAAAACTTCATAATACACATACATTTCCAAGGAAGGTGTATTCTCTTCCATTATAAATTGAATTATTTATAAAACATCAAAATTCAGGAAGTCAGAATTTTAAAAGAAACAAATGAAACATTCTTGGGGGAAAGGAGGGGAAAAAAGAGAGATAGAAATAGAGATAAATATTGAGTGAATGTGGGAGTGTGTTAGAGAGAAAAAGAGAAGAGATCGACAGAGTGAGAGAGAGAGAGAGAGAGAAAAAGAAGGTCAGTCAGTCACTGAGATTAGGAAAATGAGAGAAAGAGAGGCTGAGTGAGATGTACAGTCATACGAAGACCAAGATCACCTTAAATTATATAAATTTCGAGAATTCGGAAATGAGAGAGAAAAAAAAGCGAGATAGAAATAGAGATAAATATTGAGTGAATGTGGGAGTGTGTTAGAGAGAAAAAGAGAAGAGATCAAGAGAGTGAGAGAGAGAGAGAGAGAGAGAGAGAGAGAGAGAGAGAAAGAGAAGGTCAGTCAGTCACTGAGATTAAGAAAATGAGAGAAAGAGAGAGTGAGTGAGATGTACAGTCATATGAAGACCAAGATCACCTTAAATTATATAAATTTCGAGAATTCGGAAATGAGAGAGAAAAAAAAGAAAGATAGAAATAGAGAGAAATTTAACACACTCCCAGTGAATGTGGGAGTGTGTTAAAGAGAAAAAGAAAAGAGATCGACAGAGAGAGAGAGAGAGAGAGAGAGAGAGAGAGAGAGTCAGTCAGTCAGTCAGTGAGATTAAAAAAGTGAGAGAAAGAGAGATTAAGTGAGAGAAAGAAAGGGTGAGTGAGATGTAGAGTCATACAAAGACCAAGATCACCATAAATTATTTGAATTTCAGAATTCAGAAGTGAGAGGGAAAAAAAAGAGAGATAGAAATAGAGAGAAATATTGAGTGGGAGTGTGTTAGAGGGAAAAAGAAAAGAGAGTGTAAGAGAGAGAGAGAGAGAGAGAGAGAGAGTGAGATGTAGTCATATGAAAAACCAAGACCAACTTAAACTATACAAATTTTGAGTACCCTGAAGAGGGAGAAAGAAAAAGAGAGATAGAGATAGAGAGAAATATTGAGTGAATGAGGGAGAGTGTGTTAGAGAGAAATAGAATAAAGAGCGACATAGAGAAAGAGTGAGTGAGTCATTCAGTCAGTGAGAGGAAGAAAGATGGACCATAAGTGAGAAAAAAGGAGAGTGAATGAGAGAAAGAGCGGGTGAGTGAGATGTAGTGTCATGCTTGAGCATAAACATCATACCAGAGCTTAAACTATACAAATTTCAAGAATTCGGAAGAGAGAGAGAGAGAGACAGGAAAAGAGAAATAGAGATAGAGATAAATATTGAGTGAATGATGGAGAGTGTGTGAGAGAGAATAAGAAGAGAGAGAGAGAGAGTGTGTGTGTGTGTGTGTGAATAGGTGAGAGAGAAACAGAAAGAAGTAAACTTAATTATTTGATTACTAAAAACGAAATGTTAGATCAGTCTACATTTCTCTTGTGTTGAGTATAATATACCTACGGGTTAAAAATTAGTGAAAAAGAGAAGCAGCAATGAAGGAAATGTTAACTTTTTCTTAAAGGAAAATTGACATAATTCTAATAGGTTTATAGTTAATAATAATTAAGTGTTGCCTTGAAATTGTTTCTTTTCTTTTTTTTAGATATTTAAGTACTTTTTGGCACCGTCTGTAATCCGTCTGTAATCCATCTGTAATCCAGGCAAGAATTAGTTCAGATTACTGAGAGATCACTCTATATTATTCTCGACAGCAGAGCCCCAAGTCGAGACGGAAAAATTATTTTATTTGTGTTAAAAGCAATTAAAGATGTTTTCTTATTTCCCTCTCGTTTTATGTAATTAATTGTAAAATGTACACAAATAACTTTTTTCTGTTAAAAAAAAAAAAAAAAACAGATAAAACTGATATAAAATTGTAAAATATAAAATGTGAATAACTTTAAGCTGTTGAAATTTAAAAAGAAAAATATACAGATAAAAAATTATATAAAATTGAAGTACAATTGTAAAATTAATCATTAATGAGAGTAAAAACAATTATACTTACAGATGGTTGTATGATTTAAATATCTGAGTGTTAAAAGTTAAATCTCACAGGAATTTTTTCGATATTTTGATCTATTTCCAAAAAACGATTACAGATTTGTTATTATACAGGCTCAAGTCCCCACATGTAGGTACAAACATGTGCTGAGTGGAGCCTATTTGCTTCTCATAGTCTACTGGGAATTCCAGCTTTTGCTATTTACAGTAAACCACCAGTAGACTCAAGAATTACCCACCCTGTGTGTTGCCAGTCCAGGGTCAGATATCAGTCTTATCCGTCCAGCCACTGAGGTTTGGCTCCAGGTGCTGCCAACAGCAAGCTCAATAGCTCGTCAATTCAGCACCCAATGCATGCAGTTCCAAACCCATTCATACTCACATTCATTCTTAAATACATTCACTCCTATTTACAGCAGATATGTATCAATTAGGATGAAGATTTATTCAATATTCGTCCATGACCCTTTACACATATTATCCAGCTAACCTAATGTAGATGGGGTACTTAATATTCTGCCATCAACCCTCCCACATCTCACATTCACACTGATAAATGCATTCACTCTCAACACAAGCTAGAGATATCCAAGAATCAGAACAGGGACCCAAATACTCACTGCCGAGCTCAAGCACAATTCTTAAATCGGGTGGCATTCATGTGCACTCTCTATACGCAGCCAAGGGATTGCACCCTTCAATTAGGTGGGACACATCGAGCAACCTTCCTCTGCAGGACAGATACGCAGGCTTTGGCCCAAAAGTTAGTGTCCACGTATCAACCTTGCATGGCCTATTCTTAATTCAGTGAGGATGACCCTTCTTCTATGAGACAGATCCTCTAAGGTCCACCCATCGACAGTGCTCTTGATATGTGTGAGCTCCTCTGTTGATTTGGCCCAGTTTACTTAATTATTACAGTTATTTAATTTTAGAATATTTTATAATGTTTGTGTATTACACAATTCAATTAAGTAAGGTTTTAAGTTGAGATAAAAAAAGTCAGTGTCACGAGCGGGATTCGAACCTACGATCTTCCGCTTGATACACCGCTACTCTACCACTTGAGCTATCGTGACTTCGGTCCCCTCGGGCACTAACTTCACATCTCAATCCCACCTTTTGAATGAAAAATGGCAAAAAGGAGGTAAAATTCAAAGTAACAGCGTATCAAGCCGAAGGTCGTGGGTTCGAATCCTGCCCGTGACACTGACTTTTTTATCTCAACTTAAAACCTTAATTAATTGAATGTTATTAATTGGTCAAGTGGACCACGAAAAATAGTGAATTTAAGTATTATACAATATTGGTGTGTTTTTAAACTAAGTGATATTACTGTAATTTCAATTAATTATTATTAACATTAATTTATTTTATCTATTTTTACAAGATTTTCAAATCTATTTGATAAAGAAATTGTTCAAATTGTACAAATTGTTTCAACGTTCTTTTGTCAGATGGTGTAATTCGATAGGCCAGCCGTTTTTCGCTCAGTTACATGCTGAATCAGCGAGTAACCCTGGTCGAACATTTGGCATTCCAAAATTATGTGGAGTCTCACAGTTCATGCAGTTAGAGTTGTTGACGCTGTGAAAACGGTGGAGATATGCACTAATCTTTTCACGATCTTTTAGTGGCATCTGGAAAGAACACTTTGATGTGGGTTTCTTTTGCCTGCATCCACTCTTGTTCCCATACTACCAAGATCGGCAATCTCATCTTGCAATCTATCTACTGCTTGATTGCATTCATTTCCACCATGTGCTTTTATCCAATGCCGACTGCCATCTGAATTTCGTGGTAGCACATATCTGGGTCTTCAGTTCTGGTTTTTCGAGGAAACATGGTTGTTTTATTGTATGTAGTACTGAAGGTTTGTGAATCTAGCGTGTTTTGAGAGTGAATGTATTTATTAGCATGAATGTGAAGTGTGAGAGGGTCGATGGCGGAATATTGAGTACCACATCAACCCTCAATTACGTTAGTAAATCATCTATATTCAAGGCTGATTGTAATTATATCAAAGGTATTTTTTATTTATTTAATTAATAATTTATTTTAGATGATTATGGCACACAGGACTATTTTACAGGTCGGAAGTGAAGTTTTAAATAGCACCATAAAAAAAAATGTAACAAACATTATAGATATACATGCAGATCCAACAATATTCCATGGGTTCCTAGAGTGGGCAATTTATTTTATTTATTTATTTTTAATAATTGATCGATAATAAAAAAATTTAATTATTTTAGGATTTTATACTGTGAAAAGACTGAATTTCAATCTTTGAGTCATGCACTTGAGATTTTACAGCTGGGACAAAAGTACAAAAGCAAGCATGTTAAGTCCATATGTTTGTCCTACATAAAAGCCCAATTGGAACTTAAATTTATCTGCGACATATTGCAACTGAGCTACCAGCATGATTTGAAAGAATTACAAGATGCATGCATCGAGGTAAATATTTAGGTAAATTCATCGAGTCAATTTTATTCCTTTAAAATTGTTCTATAGCATATAACGGAGAACATGGACGAGTTTTTCAAAATAGTGAACCTGGAAGATATTAAAATAGAAACAATACAGTTGATATTAGATCAACAGAATATCAGTATAAATGAATATCAATTGTTCAAACATATTAAATCTTGGATCCATACAAGAGTTAACATTGATGGTATGTATCATGACTCATATCTTTACAACATTATTTTTTCAAACTATTATGTGTTAATGTCATTCTTGATTCATTTTTTTGAAGTGGTGAATGAGACCATAATTAAATGTATACCTACAAGAAAGATTAAAACCCCATCAAACCTTGTATTACCCATGAATTAAAACAACATGAAGACAAAAGATGTAAATATGGAGAAATAAATAAACATGCCAATGCAAAAAATGATTATAAAACTTACAGAAAATATTCTATACCTTAAAAAAGTCAATAACTAAAGCTCATTCTTATTATAAAAACAATATTTTGGCCAAAAATATTTTTTAAATATCTGAATTGTAATTTTAAACACAAAGAAACGTGTGTTCTATTAATTGATCCTAATATGAAAAAATTGGCTTCGTCGATTAAAATATTAGCAGAGCTATTTGTTGACGACTTCTCTTTAGCGTATCGCAAAGACAGATCTGCAGTGCTACCAACAATGAGAAATTTATCATCGACCATCATGGCTTTTCATTGAACTTCACGACATCCCAAACTCTGTTCAAACTGACTGTTCCCCAGGATGGCATTCATAAAATTTTCCCGAAGAATTCTCTTTACTCGATTGCTGAACCTTTGGTACAAATGTTTAAAACTATTTTTGATAATTCTTATTTTCCCCTAGAAGAAAGACAAGGAAAATTAAAGAAAGGCTCCATGGCTCGTGCCTCAAATTATTGACCTATCTCTATTCTGTCAATCTTTTCAAGATATTCGCAAATCTCTTGCAAATGAGCATTAATAAGATTCCTGACTGGCCCTGTCAAGTGACTATCTGGACACTAAAAAAACCCTCGTTTAACCTACAAACGTGATAGTAAATCTTTGGCCCCTACATCATTTCAAAAAGACTTGGGGATAACATAGAAGACTTAAAGTGGAATTTTATGTAAAGTGCGGTTGGGATGAAAATGCCAAAGGTCGTGGATTCAAGTCTCCCTCGTGACACCAACTTTTCATCTCAACCACACTTTACAAAAATTATAAATCAATGTAACACATAATTTCAAATAAGTGTTTCAATAAGTTTCAAATGATAGGTCGTTTCCAATCGTTTTGCTCTGTTTAACATCACAAGTTTTTGTCTATCAGACAAGCTTAAACATTTCACTAATTCAAACCATTTGCTACATGTGAATTTATGTTTCCTCACACAACATAAAAAGTTTATTTTGATATGATTGGTATCAGACATATAAAAAAGTTCAGGGAAAAACATTCAATTCTTGCAATGAGCTTTTTAGGAACATATTTCCATCGTCAGGACTTTGAAACTATTTCTAATGATTTAAACTTTTAACAGATATAAACGTCTACTTACAATACTCAAAATAATGGTTTTTATTTAATAGATTTTTGAGTTTTACTTTGGAAAGAGGACAAGGTCTTTCATCCGTCCATTCTGCATCATGTGATAGCCGTTGAGTCATTTTCTGCATTAACAAATTTACAATAGAAAAAAATAAATACACAACTTTAACAGACACAGTACTATGTCCTTCAGTATCAAATTATACAAGATTATTTCTATTAAAATTAAATGACCTCACCTGGCTTGGTAAAAATATTTGGGCCTGACTTTACTGCATGGTAAAAGCACAAAATAAATTATATTTGAAAAATTTATAATTAGTAATTTTATGTTGTAAATAATATTTTATACTCAGGATGATAATTATTTGTGACTTTTCTCTTTGTGAACTGCAGAGTGATGAACCTGAAATTTGGTCTTTTCTGATCATTTTGGTCTTCCTATCTTTACTGTCTTTGTGTGTCATACCCATTTTGACATTTCACCATCTTCAATATTGAGTCTCTGTCACATTGTGTTTTATTTTCACAAAATTTCACAGAAGAGGTACAAAAAAAAGCTTTCTTGCATAACAATGCACATTTCCGTCACCTTCTGACATAATTAAAAAACCTGTCAATACTTAAAATCACCTACATTCGACCCATGGGATTTTTCAAATAGTATTTGGAGCCCCTATTTTTAAAAAGACATTAAACATGTAGAAAAAGTTCAAAGACATTTCACCAAAACCTCCTAAAAATTAAAGCCAGTCGACCGACTTAAATTCCTAAATTGAAAAACTCTTCCAGATCGTTGAGAAAAGCAAGATCACATCAAAACCTATAAAATTCTTACAAATAAATATGTCCCTTTGCCTCGGCTTTTCTCACTATGCATATCCTCAAAAACTCATGGCTAAAGCATGAAAAATCAAAAAGCTCTCCTGGAAATTAGTTGGATCAACATTCTTCACAAATTCACTAATTTCATGGTCCGCTTGACCAATTAAACATTACAATTAATTAAGGTTTTTAGTTGAGATGAAAAAAAGTTAATGCAACGAGAGGGATTCGAACCCACGACCTTCGGCTAGATACGCTGTTACTCTACCACCTGAGCTATCGTGACCTCGATCCACTCGGACATGGCAAAAGGAGGGAAAACTCATAAGGTGGGGTTGAGATGGGGAGTTGATGTCCGAGTGGATCGAGGTCACGATACCTCAGGTGGTAGATCAGCGGCGTATCTAGCCGAAGGTCGTGGGTTCGAATCCCTCTCGTGCCATTAACTTTTTTCCGTCTCAACTAAAAACCTTACTTAATTGTAATTCTTCACAAATACCATAATCTGCCTTCAAATGTCATTGACTCAAGATCACTTATTTTATTCAAATCTACTCTTGACAATTATCATCAATCAAAAGTTCCATCTTTTTTTCATTCATTTAGAATATTTTAATTAGAATTTTATTGTGAAATTTGGTTATCGTGTCTAACAATATTTCATTAATATTACATTAATTGTAAATTTTTATTTACCTACAAGGATTCTATTTGTACATTTGATACACTTGTTATTGTAGTGTTTGTTTCATAATATTTTGAGTTTTTTCAATAAAAACAAAAACAATAAAATAAATAAATTTTCAGGGGAATCAGTATTGGGAGAGATTAAGGCAAATATCATTCCTAAATTCTGTTTCCTTGATATGAGCACAAATCAGTTTGTTGAAGGCCCTTATTACAGTGGGCTGTTAACGGAAGAACAATCTTTATTTCTTATGTCACAACTGATCTCCAAAAAGTGCGTCATGCCGACGCCCGCTGGAATAACAACTGCAACAAGGAATAACTCAATTGCTGATAAATCAGCAGTCCAGCAATTTATATTTGATAATTTAATAATTTCCGTAAAAAAATCCCAAAGAATGATGTTCCAGGTGGATAAATCTATAGATATACTCTCTATTATGGTATTTATATTTACTCTGTTCGAGTGAAAAACCTTTTTTAATTTATTAAAAATTTAATTTGAGGTATTCACAAGGAGCGATGGTTCTGGCCAATATAAAGGCACAATAAAAGCGTCCATCGGATTAGAAGGCAGTGATGTAAAATTATACGGAACGTGTTGTGAAACCATGAATTATGACTCCGTTCATATTCTCGATTTTGATTGCGCTGTCAAAATACAAGAAGGGTTGAAATATGAATTGGAGTTGATGTTGGAATGTGGAAAATACAAGTTTTGGAATGTGGAAAACTTTTCTGGCACAAAAGGCCAAGTTAAATTCTCATTTTTTAAAGCATCGAAAACAAGCACTTGTTATATTCCATTATCTTCAATTCGTTATACTGTTTAATCTACAGGAACTTTTAATTGTGATATAAATTATTTGTTATGTTTCATTTAGTGTAGTTAAACTGTTCATATTCTATATGGTGTCACTTTAAACCCACACAATTTTATAAATTATTATTGTTAAATATTGGTTATTAAAAATCAGATCTTACAGTAAATTTTGTTTATTTTTTATGTTAACTTGTTTGATAAATTAAAAAAACTCTTCTACTTTCAATTTGTCACTAATCACAAAATGAACTATGGAAAGTGTATTCAGAGTGTCTACAATTTCAGATTTAAAAAATCATTTATGAGATGTTTTATCTTTCACACCTCAAGCCTAGAGTGAGGAGATGACGCGCACTTTTCATTCATTAATTTCTCCGATTCACAGAAAATATTTATTTAATCATGGATAAGTAAATATATATATATACATACACACCAACAATTATGAATGATATATGCATATATACAGGAGAGATATCAAGAACTCCATAACTTGGTAACATAGCAATACAAAATAAAAAATGATATATACATAACAAATAGTGTATTTCAGAATGAGTGAGCGTGTTTAGGATAAAACTGCATGCGTCATGTGCCTTACATAAATCAATTGGACTGAAAGACGAAAATCTGACCCTAATCTAACCTAACCCTAACCCTACCTAACCTAACCAATGAACACGTTTAATGACGCAAAAATGGTGGAAGCAAAAAATTGGTCACTGTTAAAAATGACTTCCGACTAGTTCAACTTGATTTCGTGCAGCAATTGTGCCAAAATTAGTCACAATATGTATAAATACTATCTATGACTAACAAAATATCAAAAGTCACAAAAAACATTGCAAAAGTATGTATTTTTATCGGTTTTTTGAGTCTGACCTCTCGGTTGAGGAGTGAATTGCGAAGTAGCGAACGAAGGCTTCTGACAAGTTCAACTTGATTTCGTGCAGCAATCTTGTCAAAAATTGGTCAAAATATGTAGAAATACTATCTAAAACTAACAAAATATCCAGTTATCATTCAGAGTCCAACGAGAGTGGACGCGTAAATCCTTTCACCGTCTAATCTGACGATTGACTTGGTCTATATTACGTTTTGCCTCATATTCGATGGTAAATCAATTTACAATACATTCAGCCATCCCAGACAGTTTCTATAACAAAAATGAATGCCACTAGCGACGGAACATCGGATATTTTACTAGAAGCTATGGAAACAATTATTGGTACAAAACCCTCAAACGTAACCGACAACAGCAAGAAACGTAAATTAGACGATAATAATACCTCACAACAAACGTCAAAAATTAAAATCAACGACAATTCTAACCCCACACACTGTTGTCAGCCCTAGTAGAAAAAAGCAACATCTAACACTCAATCGTTTTAAATCCACCAATTCTGTACCATTCTACGTTTTTGTTGAAAGCAACAAACATAAACTCATCTTCACCCTATGACGATTGTAAAATATATTTACAAATCTGCGTATACAAATAAACAATAACAAATATAAAAGTTGTAGGCGCAAATAGAATCAAAATAGATTTTGAGAATTCCTTGGCAGCCGATAATCTTCTTGAGCACAAAATACTTTCGGAACCTTTCCTTTTATATATCCCTTCATTTCTTATCCATAAAACAGGAGTTATAAGGAATGTTGATCCAGATCATACTGATGAAGAAATTTTGAAAGTAATTCAATTCCCCATAAAAATTAAAAGCCTTCGCCGCATCACACGTAAAGAACCTGGACAAAATAATCAAGTAAAAACAACTAAATTAAAAGTATGCTTTATCGAATTCGATTCCCAAGTTCTTCCTGAACACGTAAATACAATCAGCTTACTTTATTACAAAGCAATAGTTAGATCTATAATTGACTTTGGATCAATTTATTACGGACAAGCTTCTACATCAAAATTAAAGAAATTGGACATCATACACAAATCTCTCAAAACTTGTATGGGGTCTCTTAAGAGCACCCCAATGATGTCATCAAAGCTGAATGTAATGATCAGCCATTTTCACACAGAAGAGAAAAACTGGCAGGACGGTTTGTGTTGCGCCAAATGGTGAAAAAACATCACTTGCTCAGCGCATCTGTGATTTGTCCATAATGAACGTAACAAAAAAATATTGGCAAAAGAAAAAAACCTCCACCGATTACCATGAGTTTTACCTCTTTGTCAAAATTTCAAGAAAAAATCGAACAAAGAGATACCCTTCCAATTTTCTCTATAGAACTAAAAATAATTAGAAACCCCCTTAATTGCTATATACTAAAAAACTACTGCGGACAAAATCCCGTAGCGGTTAATCAACAAGTGCTTGCTGATCTTTAGGAACTTTTCCCTAATGACCACTTACACCGATGGATCCCTCATGTCTGGTAATGTTGGATGCTCCTAGTTCTGCCCCAGCAGGGAAATCAATTCCTCTGTCGACAGAGATATCAATTTATTCAGCAGAATTATTAGCAATTAAGGCAGCGCTAAATTTCTTTACACTCAACCTTCCTACAACGAATCACATTATAATTTGCACTGACAGCCTCAGTGCAATTCAGTGCTTGCAAAACACGTCTACTAACATCAAAAATTGTATTGTAGCATAAAAAAGACAACAATTTTTCCACTTTAAAAAAAAAGGTCTCTTTCGTGTGGATTAAAGGACATATGGGCATATATGGCAACAAAAAAGCCGACAAACTTGCAAAAAAATGCCACACAGTTGCCCAACCCTAGAATCATAAAGATCCCTTATAAAGACTTTTTTCAAATATTGGAAACAAGAATACAAATAGAATGGCAAATTGAATATTCTGCCTCGGATAAGGGAAAGGCTTATAAAACATTATTTCCACTTGTGGAAATAAAACCGTGGTTTAACAAACTAGACATGGCAAAAAAAGACAACCACCATACATCGGTTAAGAACAAACAGTGCAGCGTATCTTCACAAGATTGGCATAAAACAACACCCTAATTGCGACACATACGGAGTAAAGGAGGACCTAACGCACATAATGTTTCCCTGCAGCCAACATTTGTTGTCCAGAAATAAATTCTACCAGGATCTGAAAAAAGGAGTAGAACACCCAATTAAAGTAGAGCTCTATTCAAGAATCCCAGTGTGTATAACTTGATAATAAAAATTTTAAATGATGTGTCTGTGAAAATATAATTTGAACTGTTTAAAAAGTATTCTTTGTAACATGGCTGTGTAATTGTTTAATGCCAAAAAAAAAGTTTTGAATTCATATTTTGACTAGGACAAGGCATACTGTAAAGAAAAACATTGATAGCAAAAAAAATTTATTATTTCTTATAAATGTTGATGTGAATACCATATTGTACAAATATTACAATTAATTAAGGTTTTTAGTTGAGATAAAAAAGTCAATGGCACGAGCGGGATTCGAACCCACGATCTTCGGCTAGATACGCCGCTGCTCTACCACTTGAGCTATCGTGACCTCGATCCACTCGGACACCAACTTCCCATCTCAACCCCACCTTTTGAATTTTCCCTCCTTTTTGCCATTTTTCAAATGTCGTGTAATCGGATTGGATTCTCGACGACAAATGAAATGGCCACGGAGAGCTTTAGTGAAGTATACTTCATTTTAAATCATTAAATTCACTAATTTCGTGGTCCGCTTGACCAATTAATATATTACAATTAATTAAGGTTTTTAGTCGAGATAAAAAAAGACAATGGCACGAGCGGGATTCGAACGCACGATCTTCAGCTTGATACGCCGCCGCTCTACCACTTGAGCTATCATGTCCTCGATCCACTCGGACACCAACTTCCCATCTCAACCGCGGCACATAAAGCCGAAGGTCGTGGGTTCGAATCCCGCTCTTGCCATTGACTTTTTTTATCTCAACTAAAAACCTTAATTAATTGTAATATATTAATTGGTCAAGCGGACCACAAAATTAGTGAATTGTACAAATAGTTTAATATGAACATGCCATGAACTAAGTAAATTTTAACTAATACCACTATAATTTATTTTACTATAAAAAAAGAACATATTAATAGTGAATGGCAGTAATTAGCATAATATATTTCCTTTTTATTTTCAATTGTTATTACAAATGATGAAATATTACAGACATGTTCAAAAAATTAAACCACATTAAAAATTGATACAGGATTTGCCTTATTGAATTTAGAATACTTTTAAACTTTCTTTTTTCAATAAAACTACCCAATATCTTTCTTTTGGTTATAAACCTTTACTATTTAGTTCATTTTTCTTGAATTTAAGCTATCTACATTGTGTTTTTTATGAAGATAAAATTATTTTTTCAATTACTAAATCATTGTCACTTCCAGGTGTTCTGTACCGAGTTAACTTATTTTATTATATTCCCATTGGAATGTGTGATGATTTTTTACATGTTTCCTTATAGGCGCATCATATGTCAATGACTCTGACGCTCTGAAAAGGTAATGTAATAACAACTATCTGTTAATTTGTAATATTGCACAGCCTTTAATCTCCAGAATATCTTCATGTAAATTTGTACGGGATTTACATTACAAAGAGATTGTATCAAAGATTATTGTCTCAACACACTACATTGTAAAATAAAATAAAAAAAAGTTATATGAACGCAAGCCATCACAAATAACTAATGTTAATAAATAAATACATAATAAATATGTATATAATAATTGTTAACATTGAATTTAACGATATAATTATCATGGCCTTTGTTATGAAGTACTATTAGAGAGTTATTTTGTAACTGAAAAGTACACATAAATATACCTTAGACACATTTAACTGATTAGGTTAATTTAGAATAAGACTGGTTGCAAGACACATAAAATTGACTAGAAACATAAATCTTCTCACAGTACAAACATATACACTTCATATCAATAAAAAAAGCTATTCATTATGAAGATGTAATTGACTTGCCAATGTGAGTTGGTTTTAAAAGTAAAAAGTACTTTAAGCTAAGAAAATTAATTTTATTTTTTGCTAAGTATTATCGATAAAGCTTAATAGTTAACAAAAGCAACATGTTATGGCAATTTGTAAAATGTTAATTATCTAATATGGAAGTTGCACTTGTTTAGTCTTTCGACCTTTATTAGCAAATTCTAAACCAATTCTTTGACAATAATTTATAGCTAATTTGTTTAGTTTATAACTTATAAATAGCAAATAAATTTTATTTGAGTACAGTAGAACCTTTCTTAACCAGCCTTAGATTAACCGGCCTATTTAATGAAGATGACTCACACATTGATTGTTTGATGAGCCTTTCCTAGCAAAACTTCCTGGAAAATATAGCAGGATGAGAAAAAGTGGCGACTTGAAAACAAATTTTTTACAGAAGAGGAAATAATCGGTACTGTCAGTACTGATGGTGAAAATGCAGTCGTGGAGGAATACAAAAACAAAAATAGGCAAAAAAAACTGCAGAAATTTTATTGCAACATGTCGAGCAGCAACAAGACTCAACGGCATTGTACGTCAATATCGAATGGTTAATATGAAGATAAAAATTAAAAATTCTTTGAAAGGTAAAACAGAAAAAAAGTTAAAATTTTTTTCATATTTTCAAACAATGTTATGTAGTAAAATGTACAATATGAACGTTCTGGAATAACACATTAAACCCTTCCTCACACTCAGGCGTCGTTCCAGAATGAGGCACCTCTTCTAGAAAAACCCCGCTTTTCAAAGCTTGTAGTAGGGTGGTGTTGGGGGATTTTGGAATTGAATCAGTATCACAATTTTTAGTATCACTTTGTCAACGTTACTGTAAAGATCATTTTTTTTATTTCAAGTTTTGGAAATTTCTAAAAAAATTTTGAAGAAAAACAATCTATGCTTCAGGAGTATACAAATCAGTGCTGTGTTAAGTTTTCACAGTTTATGTAAGTTACAGCCAAAAAATTCCACCCAATTGTTTTTTTGTTTTTTTCATTTTCTCGATAAAAGAAAACTCTGCTTTTAATTTGTCTCATTGTTCTTATCAATAGATATTTGTTTATGCCATGTTTTAAATTGGGAATATCAATTAGAGGTAAACAAATTAAATCCTTAATCCAAAAAAAAGATAAAAGGATTTTTCAATGTTTGCTTTTTACGAACTTTAGAATGTTTATTCAGTCTCATTTGAATTCTGAAGCAATTAACTGTTTAATTTTTATCTTTGTTTTCTTAATTTCAATTTTTAAACTTAAAAATGCCACTTAGTGCTGAGGATGTTGCGTGTGGTGTACCACTTATGGACATTCCATCAGGTATGCGGCTATTGCCATCGGTGTTCCCTACGAAACACTGCGACACGTTTTCGAGAAACTGGGTCTTACCGTAGAAGTCCCTGTTCTGGACACTCTAGGGTAATAGAACCACAGGATGACTGCTCTACGATCTGATGGGAGTGAAAGAGTAAGGGGAAGGCGAAATGAAAGGATCAAAGCCTGTAATTTTTGCCAGAGCCAGCCTTTTCAACGTAGCTCAGTGATGGTGTGGGTGGGAATTTCAATGGGAAGTCGCACAGAGCTGGTTGTAGTTCGTGGAAGGTCTTCGACCCATATATATGCTTGTTTATTCATGATATCTGATAAAATAAATATGTAGGTTATTTTTTGAACAAAAATTGATTTTTAATGGGAACCTCATATTAACAAGGGACCGAGATCCGAGATCCTGACCAGTTAAGAGATGTTCTATTACCATACAAAAATATTCTGGTCATTAAAGGTAAGAGTAGGCACTAATACATAGTAGTAGCGTAGTACTATATCAAAGAATATAAAGCCATAATTTTTTGTTCAAGTGAAGAATAGTATTTTTAATAATATACTAATTATAGATAATTTTGTCCAAACTAAAATAAAACAATGATAGTTTATAGAAACAATATCTTAAATGTAACATATAAATTGTGATTACCCGTTAACCAATTAAACTACATTCTGTACATTTCAAAAACTGAAAATTTAAACTTAAATGTTCACCTACTGTAAAATTCTATATTTATTATTGATTCAATTATAGTATAAAAACTGTGTAATTAATGATAACTTAATTAGGCCAATTTTAGGAGTTATACAAACACACAATAATACTATAGTAAAACTATCATTGTAATAATTGTAATACCTATATATAAAAACATTGTAACATCCTAAAAACCATCAAAAATTGATTTAATGCGTTCATTTCATTCTATTAAGAATATTTTAAAAGTATTTGGTAAACGGATTTCAGACTAGTTTCTCATTAATTGAGTGTACATAAAAATATATTAATAATACCTTGGCTTATTAGTTACAATTTACCTAAATCAGAATTGACAAGTGTTTCTGACATTGCATTTCATCATCATGCAAATCTATATTGTCGTTTCAATGATAGAAATCCAATCACAGAAAATTACATTAATACTTACAAGTATGATATGGCTACTGCTGTATGAATACTTCCGTTACGTTATAAAAATATAACCAACCACCATTTATAGAAACATTGGTGTACTTCGTATGTTCCATAAATATTAAAACATTCTTAATACCAGAAAGTAATATCAGCTTAAATAATACTTTTTAAAGACATGATGTTAAACCATCAAGATAAAACATAAAATGATTAATGTGATGTTTTAAAGTTATAAAGTTAACAACCTTAACAAAATTAACCTTCTAAGTACAATATGTTAACTATAGTGATTTTAATAATGTGATGAGAAAAGGATTACAATTTCTTTTCTATTTGCTTGTACCATCTAATAAATTAAGCGTCCTTTTCCTGCGTTTATCCAATAAAGGATTGTTCGAATTTTGAAGAGTTTTTATCCTAACGTGATCATAATCGACTCTCATTGTAGCTAGCGATCTCATCATTTCTTCTTGAACCTCTGGCCAGACCTCCTCACTTTCTTTCAACATTTGACCAGTATATAGTGGAGTCTCGGGAACTTCGGTATATTTCTAAAAAATCCACACATTAGATCCAAGTCAGAAAGTTTGAGTCTAATCAAAATTTTAAAAAAATGAGCAACATATGGTCTCATAAAATACGATCACATCTATTTACTGAGGTTAGTTAATTGTTAATAAAATATTGTTGTATTTTATTTGTACAGTTATTTTACAATTTTTATCATGTAACAAGAATTTTTTTAAAGGCGGCTTTTTCTATTATTCTATTATTAAAAGGCTTTGTCGAAAGAAACGTCCAAATATTTTACGTCAACTTTCTTTATTTTAACACCAAAAAGGAAAAGCCGAGGAGTTTCATGATGTTTTCTCAGTCTACAAAAGTGCACAAATACCATTTTGGACAAAGAAAATTTGAAACCCACATCGTCTGCTTTTCGTGACAATGTGTCAACAGCGTTTTGTAAAGTCCTTCCCACGTTTTGGAGATTTTTTCCAGACAAGTAAAAGCAAAGATCATCGACATTCATCGGCCTGACTATACGATCATCTATATTATCAGCCAGACCGTTTACCACAATAGCAAATAAAATGACAATCAGAACCGAACCCTGAGGAATCCCGTTTTCTTGAATTAACGTACTAGATAAGGCGGTACCTAATCGCACCTGGAATCTACTCATTTTGGGGAAGCTTTTTAAAAATTTAGCTATGTACTCTCTTAAACCCCAATCATAGAGTTTCTTAAGAATGCCAAATCTCCAGGTCGTATCGTATGCTTTTTCCAGGTCGAAGAAGACAGCTAAAGCATGCTCTCTCTCTCTAAGAAAGTGTTCTGAATAGCACTTTCAAGGAGCGCTACATGATCTTCAGAGCAAAAGTGCTTTCTAGACCCAGCCTGGTATTCTCGACAGAGACCTTTTTTCTCAATAAACCTTTTGTTAATTATGGCTTCCAATGTCTTGCTGAGACATTATGTTAGAGAAATAGATCTGTAATTTTCTGGGAGGCTAGGATCTTTAACCGGCTTAGCAATGGGTATCACGACCGACCCCCTACAGTTTTCAGGATAATATCCAGCACCCCATATTTCATTAAATAATTCCAAAAGCTTTACTTTTCCTTCTGGAGAAAGATTTTTAATCATGGAGTATGTGATTTCATCACTTCCCGGGGAAGATTCTTTCACCAAACTCAGAACAAGATCCAGTTCAGCCAAAGTGAGGAGAATGTTCCAAACTTCTTTGCATCAGTTGCAAAATTAAATCGTGTCTTCCTTCCTCCTCCTTTATCTGCCTGAAACGCTCCGAATACCAGCTGGAATTAGGAATAGATTCAAAATGACGAGCTATACGCTCAGCAATTTGAAACAGTTCTGTTATGACCATGTCTTCTGCACAAAGTATTAACATAATTGGGGGTTTTCTTTTGCCAGAAATTGCCCTGATCTTCCTCCATATATCTGAAGATTCCATACTTGGTGTTAAATTGGAAATTAAATATTTTATAGAATTTTGTTTGGCTTCCTTTATTACTCTTCTTTCTTTCGCTCTGGATTTACAAAAGTTTGACAAATTTTCATCAGTCGGAAACCTCTGCAGCCATCTTAAGGCCTTTTTCTTTGCCCTACATCGAATTCTCTGAGTACCCATCAGAAAACAGTAACATTCGATTTGGGTGAAAAGCAGTAAATTAGCCAAAATTCGAATGTTTCATGAATCGGACTGGGGTTGTTCTAATGTGACGGAGAATTCGATCACTAACAAACGAGGTTTGTAACGGAGAATTTTTTGATAGGGTGTCCAAGTTGTGAATTTTCGATAAAAATGTCAGAAATGGTGAATTTTGTGTACCACTTCACCTCCTAACTTTGAAAAGTTGCCAAAAATGAAATTTTCGGCCGATCAGGCTGGTTTTAATCTCATTAGACGCAGAAATTAATCCTCTACAGATTTTGTTTCGAACTGTTTTACTGTCAGGCTTTACTTTTTACTAACAATTTCACGAATAAGGTCAAAAAACGTGGTTTTTTGCCTGTAGCTCGGAACTGAAAGGTTTGCGGACACAGGTTCATAGGACCTTTTTTACTCAGCATTCAATTTCCTATAAGATCTGGAAGTGTGGCTGAATCGATTGGGGCCACCTTGTATACATATGTATATGTATATTGTATTTACTATCAATTAAAATAATTAATAAATAAATTGGTTCTTGGTTGAAGAAGTTGGAAAAGATTTTGTTTATAAGAAAAAAAAGAAAAAAGTTTGGAAAAAGCTTTTTTGCGAATAACTTGAAAACATCAGCACCTTTGAATTCAGCTTCAAAAATACTTCTAAAAATGTACATTGCTGAGTATCTTGCCATTTGAAATAGTAAAGTTCCTATTCACATCTTGTTTTCCTGGAGAGATATATAAACTTTTTGGTTTTTGCGAAACTCGATTAAAATAAAAGTTCTTGTGTCTCAGGGTTTTTCCAAAATAATTCCAATAAAAAAAACACTCACCGTGTATATTGTGTTACATGTAAAATAACTTTTTTTATTTTTTATTTTTAAATAAATTTTTATTTTTGGCTCACGAGAAGCTACAAAAAAAGACATGTGGCTTTCAGTTTTGCCTAAAAATGCCCCAATAAAAAATAAATAAAATTTAAAAAATAAGGGGAACGGAATTTAAACTCATCCAGTAAATGGGAAGAAATCAACAAAATCCAGACATCAATTAATTGACATTAATTTTTTTAACCTTTTAATGTTGAATGCAAATTAGCAAACAAAAATAATCAAAAAAATCTGGTATACAGAAACGACCTAACAGAACAGGAACGAACAATGTAAGAATATATGCAAATTTAATTATTGTGAATTTTAACCGTAGTCTGTGGGTGAAAAATGTGTAATTTAGTCGTTACCGATGGATCATTTTGGACTGTATGTCTTTGCTGGGCTGATTTGTCAGACAATTTTATAAAAGAAACTTGACTTCTGAAATATCACCCAGAACTAAAACAAAACGAAAAAACGCATCTGACAGAACAAACCCAGCAAGGATAGGCAGACCAAAATGAACAATAACGACACAATTACAAATTCAATTATAGTTGTAATACAATTAATTAAGGTTTTTAGTTGAGGTAAAAAAGTCAATGGCACGAGCGGGATTCGAACCCACGATCTTCGGCTTGATACGCCGCTACTCTACCACTTGACTTCGATCCACTCGGGCACTAACTTCCCATCTCAACCTCACCTTTTGAATTTTCCCTCCTTTTTGCCATTTTTCAAATGTCAAATGGGAAGTTAGTGCCTGAGTGGATCGAGGTCACGACAGCTCAAGTGGTAGAGCAGCGGCGTATCAAGCCGAAGATCATGGGTTCGAATCCCGCTTTTGCCATTGACTTTTTTATCTCAACCAAAAAACCTTAATTAATTGTATGATATTAATTGGTCAAGTGGACTACAAAACTAGTGATTTATAGTTCTAATGTTATTTTTGAAAGATTAAATTCAATTTTTAAAAAAATGGTATAGTAAAATATTTTCTATTAGACTGGTCTTATGTACTAGACTGGATATAATAATAAATGTACTAAGCATTATTTAAAATATAAAAAAGGTCATATTCCATTTTAATTAACAATATAGTTCAGTGGTGTATAAACAATGTATAAATATATAAAGAATTTATGCGATTAAATAAATTAATACATACTGCTATCCATTCATTCGACATAACTTGGTCTATAAAAAGTCGATCATCAGGATTGACACATAGCATACCACGAATAAGATCTTTAGCATCCTGTGAGACACTGTCCCATTCAGGGCTTGGGAATTCATACTGACCAGTTCTTATTCGCCTTTTCATGCCAGGTGATATTGCTTGGCCGTGATTACTAAAGAAAGGTGGAAAGCCGCACAACCTAAAAGATAAATTGGTAAAAATTAAACTGTTACATATTTTTATAACTTAAATAAGTTATTTTTGACTGCCTGCATTAGTGTTATTCAAGTTATACATAATATAGATTATTCATACCTAAAAGAAAACCTCTTGCAGTCAAAACCTAAGAAAATCAATTTAATAATATTTTTATAAAGTACCGCTAATACTCCAAAATTTAAATACACTATTAACAATTTTATAAAACAATGCATAATATATGCAATAACTATTACAAACAACACAAAAAAATTTGAACCCAGTCTTTTCAGTCTGAGCATCCGACAGTTTGGTCATTTCAGCCCTGAGCGCATGCAAAATGCAACAACACACTCAATAAGCAATCACACGAATAAATAAATTCAGACCTATATACATTGCATTAAAAGCAACGAGAAAGCGAACACCCTTGCAAGGAAAGGGGCTGCCACACCGCTGATAGGACTTGAACCCTTCTGTGACATAGGAACCCACATTGTTAACAAATGTCTCAGACAGAAGGACAAAAAGAAAATGAAGAAACAATGGAATTCACTCATTGGACATAGACAATCCAAGAATCTTCTAACCAATTTTGGTAAGAAAGAAATCTCAGAATGTGTCAAAGGAAGCAAGAACAAACTGTGAATCCTGACAGGATTTCTAACAGGACACTGCAGATTAAATGGACACTTAAAGAAAATTGGAACAATCCAAGACGGCACATGCAGATTCTGCAAGGAGGCGGAAGAGACACGAACACATTTACTAACAAACTGCAAAGCTACATTAGCCCACAGGAGGAAATGTTTTGGGATGTATAATGTGACCATAGAAGAACTTCAACCACTGAAACCAGGCCTATTTATCAAGTTTCTTGATGAAATAGGACTCACCGATGTGCTTTAGGCAGAGAAAGGGGGCTACAATAGCTCTTAAAGGGCGCAGTATATTACACCCCGAATATTACATCTTCATCTACATCTACATTACATTAATTCTATTTTGTAGATGGAGTACTCAAACTTTTATAAATATTCCGACATCAACCCAAGTCACATACACATCTCGGGGGGCGATGGGGATGTTATTCCACCATCAGCTCCTCCCTATTCACTCTAATAAATTCACTCAGTCAAACAAAACACAGAAACACAAAAAACTTATTTTGACGGCTGTATACAATAAAAAAATTCCCAATTCCCCTAAAAAGCAGAACAGAGGACCCTGAAACTCACTACTGTGTCTGAGAGCCATTCTTAAATCCGGCGGCATGCCTACACGCTCTCTGTATGGAGCCAAGGCATGACATACCGCTACTATGTGGGACACAAGGAGCAACTTTTCTCTGCATAAAGGGCACCTGTGTGGGCTTTGGCCCAAAAGCTGGTACCTGTTTGTCAGCTGTGTATGGCCAATCCTCAATCAAGTGAGGACGATCCCTCGTCTCCTGTTCCGGTTCTCTGAGGGCTATCTACCAGTCGTTCACTTTACTCGCAAGAACCTCTCTGACAACCCTGCCCACTGATGCTGCCATCTTTCTTTTATCATGTTTTTCACTCTTGCTTAGTGTCAGAGGGCCTGAACACGATGGTCCGATCTGGAAGGTGGGACATCCCGGCTTTTGCCGCCTCGTCCGCACGTTAGTTACCCTCCAGGCCGAAGTGTCCGGGAACCCAGGCAATAACTACCGTTTTTCCGAGAGGCTCCAGCTCCGCATATTTCTCTAACAAGAGCACGACGAAGAGGGTCCACAGAGAACCTGTCTCGTATAGCCAAGACAGCGCTCAGAGAGTCGGTACATACGAGGAAGGCTGAGCCCTCCTCAGTCCACAGTGCCTCGAGAGCGTGCCAAATCGCATATCTCTGCTGTATATAAGCTGCAATGAGGGAGCAACGACCAGAAGGTGCTATATACGGCATCATTGCCGATCTTGGACCCGTCTGTAAAAATCAGACAAAAACTGGCGTATCTATTTCTAAGTTTAATAAACTTAGCCTTGTAGAAGTATGGCAGAGTACACAATCTGAATAAGTTTGCCAGATCGTCGCGGACGAGTAAAGCCGGAAAGGTCCAAAGGGTGTCGGCCGGTCGCCCAGCTGAATCACTGTCCCCAGTGCCACTCCAGCCCCCAGTCTTATATTTAATGATGCTGAACTTTGTACGTGAAAATTGTAAATTAGACTGTAATGAAATATAATGTAAATAGACAATCATTTTTTCTGTCTAAGACCATCAAGTAATACCACAAAAAACCTTTTTATTACTGTACTTCTTGGGTTTCTTTTCAGGAACTAGACAACCATCAAACTCATTTTCTTTTTTAACTTTTTTTCTTTAGGTAGCCAAAAAGATACTAGCCCAGTTATGCCCTTCTTATAAAAAGCTTTTGGTCCCGAGACTTTAACTAGACAGCCATCAAGAATCTCGACAACCGTAAAGAAAACGAGTTTGATTGCTGTCTAGTTCCTGAAAGCAACCGAAGAAATATAAAAAGTCAACAGCCAAAAAATAGGAGTAAAAAAACTATTTGTTATTGTATTCTGAAATATTAGTTTTAAAGGGATTCAATTAAATAAAATACTGGATACTTACAAAATGTACATAATCACTCCAAGCGACCATATATCACAACTTTTATCATATTTTTCAGGGCCAAGAACTTCTGGAGCTAAAAACAAAACAACCTAATACTGTGATTGTTAACACTCGGAAAAAAAAATTAATTCCAACTACCTTGGTGAAGTATTTTTTATAGTTGGTAGTTTAATTTTTTTAGCTTAAATAACTTGTGATTGTCTGTATTAGTATTAGAAATTGCTAAAATCATAGCTAAAAGGAAACTAATATTGAGATTAAAATCTATAAAAAATTAAGTTGAATTCCATATTATTCAATTATCTAATTTGCTGCATAGTTCTTATTTAATTATGTAAAATTATTGTTGTGACTATTTCAGTAATTTACAATTCGATATTGTAAGTGAAAATTGTGAATTAGAATGTAATGAAATGTCTGAACAAACAAGCAGAAAGGAAGCTATCAAAAACTAGAGGTTTTTACTTCTTTTTCAATACAGGGTGCCACTAAAAAAGATCCCCTTTTTGTTAATTTGGTCAGTTGTTTCACTAAATTAGAATTTATTTATTAATTCAAAATTTTTAATTTTTCAGTTAAAAACGTTCTGTAACATATGCCAAACCTATCATGCATTGAATCTGGCAAAGTATTCAAGTACATAAAGTCCCAGGTAACCAGAAAAGTTCATGCTGGTTAAAGGATTAATAACTGCCACAATTAAAATTAGTTTAGAAATATTTTATTCAGAGAAATAGTCTCTGTCAGCATCTACCTTCTCCCAACAAGATACTAGCCCAGTTATGCCCTCCTTATAAAAAGTTTTTGATCCCAGAACTTTAAAATTCAATTTATCTCATTTTCCAGCTAGTGGTGATTATCAAAATATATGATCATATATTGATAAAAAAAAGGTGAATGTCAGATAAGGCCAGGTTCAGAGAGTACCAGTGGTAAGTGGACTTCCCAACGAAGCTTCATTATCGCCTCCTTTGTCATTCAGGTTGTACGTATGATTGTCCGGGTGTAAAATTACACATTTCCAGTGTACAAGAGCAGGTTGTTTCTGGGCCAGGGCAAGAGATACTAATTGCAGTTGGCTTGAGTAGATTTCTGCATGGTTTGGCCATATGGCAGGAGTTCATAATGCCCAATGCCAACCTCGCCAAACACAAAACATCACTTTTGTCGTGAATAATTTGGCTTTTGCGTCAATGGGACAGGGTAATTAAGCGACACCCAATTGTACCTCCTGGTGTTACTGTACAGGATCTATTTTTCAAAAGAAGTAAAAATCTGTAAGGTCAATGCCAGTCGGATACTGTGGTGCAGTAGCACATTCCAACCAAGTACCAACAATTTCTGTGGTATCTATAAAGGCAAAATGGGGCGAGTGATGGAAAACAAACCCTCATTTAGTCAATGATGGTCATTTTTGGCCAATTGCTTACTTTCATTGCTCCAATAGTGTACAGTATACACGGAAATTGATTGTTTGGTTGGGCAGATCATAAATAAAGCACACCCTTTCAATCCCACCAAACGCACATTATTTTGTTCAGTTTTTGGAATTGTTAATGATGATTCGCTATTTTCTCCAGAATTTTCTTCTCTGAAATTTACTGTAAAACACACAACTTTCATGGGCCATTTCCATTATGTTTTAGAGGGAATCACAGATGGAAATGCAGTCAAATAAATTCTTCCCAGCCAACATTTGAGGAATCCATTCATCGCTTGGACAAATATATCCGGCTTATCTCTGATGTGCTGAAATGCTTGCATGAAATAAGTGTGTCTACGGTATCTTGTGGTATTGAGTGCAGGTTATTTGTGACAAAAGCTTGCATTTGGTCATCAACGGTTGAAGGGCAACCAGAGCGCTTTGGATTTCCCAAATCAAAATTCCGGCTTTTGAACCAAGCAAACCACTTATGGATGGTGCTTTCTCCTAAAGCATTATCACCATAGGATCACCAATTTTCCTAACATTCTGAGCTGAGGTTTTCCCATTTAGGCAATTGAAAAAATAAATAAATAAATGATTAAAATGGACTCCATTTTAAATTAACAAAACACCTTGTAAAAATACGAGATTTTGAATGAAACTGATGAATAAAAACAACTTAAGAAAAATTCCCTTTTCAGAGTGAGTAAACAATTAATGATTAAAATAAACATTGCTCAAAACACAAGAGGTATAAAATTGAATCACTGAAAAATGTGACTGACTTATTTTACAACCTATTATTTCATAAGATAGTTGATATAATTAAATAAAAATTAAAAGCATAAACAACAGATAAAGGGAGTAACAAACCAACGTAGTATGGTGTGTAACAGGGTGTCTGCAGTTTGTCGCTTGTACAGACTTCTTTTGCAAAGCCGAAATCAGTCAATTTTAAAACACCAGTCTCATCTAAAAAAAAAAAAAAAAAAAAAAAACGAAAAAAAGATATTAACAAATTATAAAGCAACACATTGCGGGATGTTCTGTTCAAAATTTCCTCAAATGCAAATAACTCATCCCAATTAAAATTTCTGTTATAAAAAATATTTTTTAGGCTGTACCTCTAAATATACTGATATGTTGTTCTTTATTTACAATTAATTATTAAGAATTAAATTCACTAGTTTTCGTTATTATTGACCAATTAATATCTTTCAATTAATTAAGGTTTTTAGTTTAGATAAAAAAGTCAGTGTCACGAGCGGGACTCGAACCCACGATCTTCAGCTAGATACCACTTGAGCTATCGTGACCTCGATCCACTCAGACACTAACCTCCCATATCAACCCCACCTTTTGAATTTTCCCTCCTTTTTGCCATTTTTCAAATGTCGTGTAATCTATTCAATTCTCGGCGACAAATGAAATGGCCTCGGAGAGCTTTAATGAAGTACACTTCATTTTAAATCATTAAATTCACTAATTTTGTGGTCCGCTTGAACAATTAATATATTACAATAAATTAAGGTTTTAGAGGTCACGATAGCTCAAGTGGTAGAGCAGTGGCGTATCTAGCCGAAGATTGTGGGTTCTAGTCCCGCTCGTGACACTGACTTTTTTATCTCAACTAAAAACCTTAATTAATTGAAAGATTAAAAATTAATATTTCATAACTGGATTTTTAATAGAGTCGAAATCGAAGCAAACCATTGTTAAACCTTTTTAATATTTATTAATGTTAATTCAGTATTATTTCTTTGCAAAGCTATTTTTGTTTATGTTTTATTTTAATGCCTACTAACGTTATTACTTTTAAACAAGCTTAAATTGTTTCCACCTTGTAAATTTTACTAACTGTTATGAGTATATTTATTTAGGTTAATGTGAAATAATGGCTTATTTTATATTGAATAGGTGAAAAGGATGGAATGATATAATGCTGCATGACGGGGGAAATATACCACATGGGTTTGAAAAGACATATTGACTGCAGAAGACGCAACGTGTGCGTCATGCCAACTGTACTATCCTTATGGGTGCGGTGGACGCATTGTATGCGTCCTCCCATTTAAATATTTTAAACTCTCCCTACACTTCTTCCGCTACACAATTCTGGTCAAAATTATTTCAATTCAAAATATTAAAACAATTAAATAAATTATTTTCAAAAAATTTTATTAACTAAAATATCCTCCATCATTCTCAATACATTTCTCCCAATGTGAGGCTACTTTTTTTTATACCCTCTGAATAGAATTTTGAGTCTGTCTTGACGTAGGTTTTAGAAAAACATTTTGTTTATAGTGCCAACGTTTCGATCTTTATTGCACTCTCAACACGACACACAAGAATGACACATCTACCCAGAAAACAAACACTGAGCCCTGAAGATGATCACAATAAAGATCGAAACGTTGGCACTATAAAGAAAATGTTTTTCTAAAACCTACCTCACACCAGACTGCATTTCACAATCTCCAAATAATCACTGGCTAACAGTCACTAAAAACCGAACATTTAATTAGAATTTCGAATTTTTGTTCCATAATTTAACATCCCATAGGCATGTATGGCCAATAATAATATATATAATAATAATAATAATAGTCAGATTATATTATTATTACTATTATTATTATAACTGAAAGATTTTCTGCATGTTCATGAATAGTTGTTCTGGGTTTTTCTTCTACCAAAGCTTGCAGAACACCATCATCTAGGTAAGAAATCCTTCCACGACCATCTTTGTCTTCAAGCTCTAAAGCCTGCCTCTCGAAATTTTTTAAGCCATCTCTAAACAGTGCTCCCACTCACACTGCCATCGCCCCAGACTTCATTAGGCACCGTTCTGACTGAGTTTAAACTCATAAAACAAAATTACGTGAAAATCACGTGTTGACATCTTGGTAAAGACTGAATTATTCCCAAGTAACAAAATGCTACTGAGGTAAATAAAAAGTGTTGCCATTCGTACGAAAGAATAATCCATCAAACATTAACAGTTTATTAGAGGGGTAATTGAAAGAAAAAATGAAAACCTGCAACACATTCTGGACAGGGCAATATTTTACATGATAAATAGGATAGCCATAGGCAACCAAAATGGCTAAGCATAGGCTGCAATCATTGTGTCAAGGTCAAAGATATTTGAGATTGAGGAAATTTAAACATAACACATTGAATATGACAATTACCTGGGAGTGTGTACAGAAGATTTTCAGGTTTAAGATCTCTATGAGCAATATCCATATCATGTAAGTATTTTACAGCTGAACAAATTTCTTGCATTATTTGAGCAGCCTCTGAAAATATAGAAAATAAGAAATTATAAAAACACTGAAATATTTAATAATGCTATTGGTACGTGGAAATAAATGTTCAAATGACAAATGAAGTTAAAAAGAAAACTTTACTCAACTACAAGTTTAGTAGATAATAAATTCACTAATTTTGTGGTCCGCTTGACCAATTAATATATTACAATTAATTAAGGTTTTTAGTTGAGATAAAAAAGTCAATGTCACGAGCGGGATTCGAACCCACGATCTTCGGCTAGATACGCCGCTGCTCTACCACTTGAGCTATCGTGACTTTGATCCACTCGAGCACCAACTTCCCATCTCAACCCCACCTTTTGGCTCATGCCAATGACTTTTTTATCTCTACTAAGTTGGTGTCCGAGTGGATCGAGGTCACGATAGCTCAAGTGGTAGAGCAGCGGCGTATCTAGCCGAAGATCGTAGGTTCGAATCCCGCTCGTGCCATTGACTTTTTTACCTCAACTAAAACCCTTAATTAATTGTAGTAGATAATAAAGTTGAATTTTCTTTTCTGTTATAATTTCTAAACGATAAATATAACTACTTTTCTAAATTGTTAATATAATTTTAATATTAAAGCAAAAAACAGTTAATCCAGAACCTTTGAAGGTTTATTCATATACCTCTTTCTGTAAATGCTCCATGTGGCCGTTCTTGGATCCTTTGAAACAGTTCTCCACCTTGCATGCTAAACAATGGAATATTTGAAATAATGATACCACTTAGAAATTTTTTTTTTTTTTTAATTGTGTGCACATAAAATATTTAATTGTACAGAATATTAAATAAAATTTTGAAACTGGAAAATAGAAGAAAACGGCAATAGCCATGAAGCAACTTTCATGCAAAATTTATCTCATTCACATAATGGTTTAGTGCTCTAGATACAAGTGAAGGATCAATACATTTAGGGGTAAAAAAATATAATCGATTTCTGTACTTGAAAAGAAATCCAATTCACCAGGAATGTACATGAAATTAGACCATTTTACAAGGCATAGTTATTAGTTTTAACTATCAATCATAAATCAGAGAATGAACAAAATTATAAATAAATTTCCCTTTGTATCTTGAAGTAATAGCATTTCAGAAACGAAATGCAGGAAAGTCAAATTTTGCTTTGTGATCTGTGTATTTCATAAAATGTATGGTACAAAAACTCATAAGATCATAATTAAACAGGTAACCAGAAAAGTCCGTGTGAGTTTAAATGATTTAATTGTCAGAATTCAAATTAGTTGCCCTTCTTATAAAAGTCTGGGACCTGGGAATTAAAATTTAAATTCAGCTCGTTTCCAGCTGTTGGCAATTATCAAACTCCTGATTGGGTATATCAGGAATTTTGTACTTTTCTTAGTCCATTGCAAAGAAAAGGTGAAAGTCAGATGAAGCCAGGTCTGGAGAGTATGCAAATGTTTAGACACTGAAGCTTACTGTGAAGATTCCAAAAAGGAATCTTAAACAGATTTTTTTAGAAATTAAATTCATTGTAAATATTAAGATGGAAGGAAAGGATATTTCAGCTAATTTTGGGGAAGCGTATTATGTAAGATTGGTCAATCGGAAGTGTCCTAGAATCTTGGCAGCTGACCTAGTCTTTCACAAAAACCCGACACAGCAAAACAAAGCTGGTGAAATAATAACTAACAACTGGGTGTTCACGATTGAGAAATATCGATGGCGATCCTGGGCAATCGCCACAAAAATATTTACTGTTGTGCTGACAAGTGGCCTTATTGCTCAACCCCTAGGATTGGCTAATGCTCAGATTCACCTGGAAAAGCTCAACAACCTGGGGGAAAATTTGGGCAATCGGGTCACCAGGAAGCATAACAGTATTTCCTAAGCTACGGGTTCCCCCTCCTCCTAGACCGATAGGCTTAAATACTATCCCTAAAGAAATAGAAGCAGTCGAAAAGTCAAGAAGTTAAGAAGGCCGGTGTAGTGAAGAGGGCAGGCTCAGTCAGAGTCAGAGAAAAGGACTGGTGTGGCCATGGCAGCCATGGAGAGAAGAGTCAGTCAGAGTCAGAGAGGAGAGCGAGAGAGTCAGAGGCAGACAGGTGAACTGGTGGGGCGTTGTAGTCAGCATAATCCGCGGCATCTGGATCAGATAGCAGTCGGCATCGATGCCAGCATTCCAGTTCTGTAAGTACAAGATTTGTCAGTCAGTTGGCATGGGAACTGGAAAACAGTTGGGGCGATTTCGAGGCTGCATCCAAATCTTGAATAATACGTTTCTCAAGAATTAAGCCGATAGGAATAAGAAATCTGTTGGGAAGCTTGGGTGTATCTATTTATATACAGAAGTATTTATTTAATTTATAAGTAGTATTGATTAATTATTTAGAATTAAGTCATGAATTGTATAATAGGAATAGACAATTGTTAATTACAAGTAGGGTCGGGAATCCGATGGAGGAAACCTTGTTAATTTTGAAGTAAAAAGGGCAAGGGAGAGGTGTACCTGTCCCAAGCCTAAAAAGGATAGTCTGGCGAATTATGTGTCGGAAATGACCAGGGAAGTATGGGACAATCCAAACCTCTGTCAGTACTGATATTGACCACTGATCACGGGAGTGTGACTGAAGCTTCAGAGGTTGCTAAAGAACTGACATAGCACTTCATCATGGTGTCCAGTTCTGAAGCATATTCCAACAAAGAAAAACCGGGTGTAACTACTGATATTGATTTCGGCAGCGGCACCAGTGAATTGTACATGCCGCTGATGATGGGAGAGTTTGAGTCCACATTGGGGCACACCTGGAATTCAAGCCCCCGAGTGTGAAGTTATTCTATATGAAATGCTTCGCCATCTTCCCTACGGTGGATCAGCGGCGCTTGTTGGACTTGCTCGTGCTTGTATCCCGATCGTTGGCAGGCAAGAGGCACTCATCACACCTATCTTTAAAGAGGGTAGGGACCCTAGTCTGGTTACAGACCAATTTTGTTGACAACTCGCTTGAGTAAGGTCCTGGAGTCCATGGTGACGGTCAACTGAACTGGCACCTAGAGATGAAGGTATTTTACAGCCAGTATCAAGCGGGATTCAGCGATAAACATTGTGGCTGCAAGAGCTGAGGAAACCAGGTTTTCTTTCTCTACGTTGAAAACAGTGTGTATCCACTTTTGCAGATTGAGGAGGGCTCATACATAGCCCAACTTTGCCTGAGGGGCACACCTGTGCGGTATGTGGAGAAGGTGCGGTTCCTCGGCCTCTTGTTTGATGAGAAGTTGAGATGGCAGGCACACATTGACGCCGTCGAGGTTCAGAGCAGGAAAACCCTCTCACTGTTAAAATTTGTTGGTCATTTTAGGTGGGGAGTGGACAGGGAGACCCTGTTAAAAATGTTTGACTCACTGCTTTGTTTAAGAATCTTTTATGGGTGTATTATTTACTCCTCAGCCTAGAAAACACGCCTGAGAAAACTCAATAGGCTCTACTATCAGGGTCTCAGAACAATCTTGGGAGCGTTCAGGACCTTGGCCAGGCTGTGCTGCATGCTGGGGATCGTGCCTCCCAAACTTCAGAGAGAGCAGCTTACCCTCGGTTACATGTCTGGATTCTTGGCCAAGCTGGGGCACCCTCTTGCTAGGACGATCCTCGAGTGCCTATACAAAGTTGTCTATGACACGACCGCTCAGGATTGGCTTCAGTGAAGCCTTGGGGAGGGCCAGACTGGCGCTGGCGACAGTGCTTCAGTTAGATGAACAATTGACACCTCTTGACCTTTCCAGCTGTACTCGTCTGCGATGATCTGGTGGACTTGCCTACATTGTGTACTCCGCCATACCTTTAAAAGGCTAAGTTCCTTGAACTTAGAAATAGATACACCAGTTTTCATCTGGTTTTTACAGGTGGGTCCAAGACTGGCAATGGTGACATGTGCCGTGTATAGCAAAGGGATTGGCCACCTTCTGGTCACTGCCCCCATTGCAGTGTATACTCGGCAGAGCTATATGCGATTTAGCACCCTCTCGAGGCGGTATGAAATGAGAGGGGCTCGGCCTTCCTCATAGGTGCCAACTCCCTAAGCACTATTTGCAGTTCTCTGCGGATCCTCTTGTCATGCTCTTGGTAGAGAAATACGCCAAGCTGGAGCTCCTTGGAAAAAAGGTGGTTGTTGTCTGGGTCCCCAGACACATCGTCTGGGTCCCCAGACACATCGTCTGGGGGGTTACGAGGGTTACAAACGTGCGGATGAGGCAGTGAAAGCCGGGACATCCCACCCCCCCAGACTGGACCATCATGATCAGGCCCTCTGACGCCACGCTAGCAATGAAAAACAGGCAGCATCAGTGGGTGGGGTCATCCAAGAGGCTCTTGTGAGTCAAGAACATGACGAACAAGTAGCTGGCCCTCAGAGAACCTGAAACTGAGACAGGGGATTGGCCAGACGCAGTTGACAAATGGGCACCTGCTTTTGGGCCAAGGCCTGTGCAGGTGCCCCTTAGGCAGAGAAAGGGTGCTCAATATGTCCCACATAATAGAGGTGTGTCATGCCTTGGTTCCATACATAGAGCATGTAGGCATGCCACCGGATTTAAGAACGGTTCTCAAGCACAGCAGTCGTTTTCTGGGTCCCTGTTGTTTTTTAGAAAATGTGGAGTTATTTTATTTCACTGTATATAGTTATATTCTATGTGTTTTGTCTTTATGTGTTTTGGGTTTTGTTTGAGAGCGTATATCTATTAGCGTGAGTGGTGAGGGGTAATGGTCAAATATAGTGCCACCAACGCCCCTCCAGTAGTGTGTGTATCTAGGGCCAATGGTGGAATATTTATAAAAGTACTTCTTCGACCTTAATTTATATTAGATTTTTAATAATGAATATGTACAGGTCAATAGGGGAATATCCAGTAGTCCACCAACTAATCAGAATGAGTACTACGTATTAGACTAAATTGTATATTGCATGCATTTGGAGATGAAATGACCTAGCTGTCAGAGCCTAACCCTGTTGGTAGGGAAGCAATTATCTCCAGGGCATTTCACTTAAGGGGGATACCAGCGACTCAGCCACACAACAGAGTGGGTGAACTCCCTGATGTACAGACACTAAGGTCAGCACATCAGGATGAATGTCCTTTATGAAGACACTTATCTTTTTGGTATTAAGCGATATAAACATCTAATCCTCCTTTGTAAGTAGAAATGGTGATTAATGATATTAAAACAATGAAAACCACACGAACTTTTCAGGTTACCTGGTAAAAACAAAAATTATAAATTTCTAAGTTGTATTTGTTTAAAATTTCAAATATCGTGTAAAATATACACATAAAATTCATGAATTACATCATCAACAGCTTTAGCTTTTATTTTTATTTTATTATTTTTTATCTGGTCTTAACAGATAAGATTGTGTATTGCAATGATAATCATTTGTGGACATTGTCCGGGGATATCGGTAATTTTGCTAGAATCTAGCTAGACAAACAAGTTGTGATATGAGTATTTAAAATCACCGACTTAACTCCCAAAATATACTTTGGTAGTCATGTTATTATATTATTGCACTTCAACAAGTGTTATGCTTTAGAAAAACAACAAACCATTAAAACAAAAGGACAAATATTACATTTAAACAATTTGCAAAAATTGTATCTATGTATTAGGAAAAGTAAATAAATTATCTCTTTGATTAAAGAAATGTTGCAATAAATAAATAAATATTCTAATTCATAGTTTGATCTTTTAAACTGCTCAACAATTACTGAAATAAATGTCTTATTTAAATATAAATATATTTATTTTCAAACACATAATTTCATTTTGTAATTTACTGGCAATTGCTTATACTTATGTTTGTCTCATAAAAAATGCAAAGACAAGCCTGGAAGCAAAACAAGAATCTATGAATATTGAAGAGGTAAAACAATTCACATACCATTCCATTACAACTAGAAGGCATTTTTTTCCTAGATATGTATTCTTGTAAACATCTATAATGCTGACAATATGACGAAAACCACTTACTCTCCAATGAAGTTCAACTTCTCTCCTTGCTTTTACAGAATCTTGAAGAACCTAACAAACAATAAAGAAAATTATCCAATTAATTAAAGAAAAAAGTATAAATAAGAATATTATCACGATATAAAATAACTGATTTATTTTTATATATGCCATTACTTTGGATGACTATGGAATATTTGCCATGCAAACAAAGATAAAAGAGGATGAAGGTAAGTGTTGTCATTTTAGGAGGTAGTTGATGGTTTATGATAAATAAAAATAAATTCACTTCTTGTCAAGTTAAACATAAGAAATGCAAGTCTTCTTGAGGTTTGCGGGTTCTTGGTTATTCCGATTATTTTATTCTGTTGGACATGTTTTGTCATTTTGAATACTAGGTTTGTGTTCAATTTTATCTTTTGTAATGGGTATTTCAACTATGAGGTTATATAGTGCCTCACAGTGCCAGTGTTTTAGAGGAAAAAAAGCCCATTTGTAACTCAGGGCTCGGGATTTGAGCTCAAAACCTTTACCTCACGGTAATGGGCGCCGTGTTAACCCATAACTACTGAGGCCACCAATGTCTTTATCCTTTTGTAAATACATTTTTCTTTTGAATACACAATTGGCAAAATAACACACAAAACCACCACTAAAGTCAAAAAGGCAGACCAAAATGATTGGTAACAACTATATTATAAATAAGAGTAAAGCTGGTCCTTGTCTTAATACAAGTTGGAATAAATGAGTTGAAAATAATTGTTAAAATAAGTTAAGGCAATAGCGTAAAAAATTTTGAATGTATTTTTTTTTAATGTAGGCTGTAAATCTGTTGGCTCGCCAACCCAAGGAATGTTTCCCAAAAACCTGAAGGGTGTAGAAAGACGTCAAGAGAATAGCAAGAGGGAATCTTGACATACGTCATAGACAGGGCTAATCAAGTTGCCCGGCCCAAAGCAGGACTAGTCGACTGTCAACTGTCTCGGAAGCAGTGGAAGGAAGCCGAGTTGGACATTTCATCAGCTAGACTAAGGTGAGTGAAGACATCCAGACCTAGACGAATCGAATAGAGTCAATTGTCGAATAGAGTTGAGTGTAAGACGCAGCAGAAAAGAGGCTCACTCAGTCAGTGAGAGTATTCAGTCAGCCAGAGCCAAAAGGAGACAGCCTTGCCTTCCTCCCAAACATCTAGTCGAATTTTACTCTCATTTTGTCGGGTACCATTTTAGTCAACTCATTTATTTTATTTCTCTCCATAATTTTGTGCTGGCTTCTTCTTAGAACTGGTTTTATTTCCTTCCTTTCCTACGTAAGTAAGAGTGGGACATCAAGAGTAATATCCATCGGTGTTGTGGAGCAATGCATTGTCTCTGTTATATTGTCACATGTGCACCACCTAGGCTTGAGGTCTACCACTTTATGAACAGACACTCCACCCACAGCTCACAATGACCCAGAGGCCACCCAAGTCCTCCAAGGTTCTTAACCTGACGAGGCTGAGGGTATAAGGCTGGCCTGGATCAGAGACCATCAGAGACAGTTAGATAATTACGTCACTTTCAGATGAGGATGTTATTTGATTCAACTAGTTGAACGAATGGGTGTTAAGGAGTATAGCCATGTAGCAGATTGGGAACCGCTCGAAGCCCTTCACCTCCACCCAGTAGGGTGGGTGGCCAGCAGGCAAAGAGGTGCTTACTGGTTGAAAACTCCACTCATTCATCCATCATGCCAGTGACCTAGATGAACCAACTAAGTTCACCATAGAAAACATTGCAATTGTAAGTTTCAGTGTGGAACAGTTCATTGAATAAAATCATATTAGTACCATGACATGGGGCATGAAGTGTGAGAAGTGGAGTGATAAAATTTAAAGGAAAGTGGCACAGCAGTTGTTGGACTGGGCTTCCTCCTTTTTTGCTTCTCTTATTGCAAGTAACGCTCCTCTTCCTCCGTTACTGATCTCCAGTTAGGAAGAGAAGTTGATCCACAGGTTGCCTGGTGTGACACTTGTGTGAACCAGCCAAGAAAAAGTCTTCACATGGCAGTCAACCAACACAACTTAGTCGAATCAACTAAACTGCTTCATATGAAAGAGATTTAAGATAGAGAGTATGAGTCAGACTGAAGCATCAGATTCAGAATCTATGTCTAAGTCAAATACTGTGACACCCATCACCTGAGTTTGGAGGTTAAGTCTTCTTGAGTTTGTCGACAGAAGAGGGCCTCCATCCACTGCCTTCAAGACTTACAACCTCGTCCAACAACATTCCTCCCCCCCCATAAAGTCAGTACGCTGAGAAATAAAACTGATCACAAGCCAGTGATGAATGGCCACCCTTTAAGCCCGCCGCAAATTGAACCCAGCCCACGGACAGCACACGCCCAGCCCAATGCCCAACACATCCCATGACACTCCACGTTTTGTTGAGGTACCGCATATTGAACCCAGTACTGGCCCAGTAACGATGTCCTCTTTTTGGCAAATACTTCTAGATTTAGAATCTGAGTCCGAAACTGAGGAATTTGTTTTATTGTGTTTGTTATCCAAAAAAAGAAAAAAAAAGAAGAAGTGCCTACTTAAGTGCGCGAAGTATTCATGGAGAGTATTTGGTATCTGAGGAAGTTCCAGAAAACAGGGGTTGTTTCCGGCTAAACAGAACGCAGTTTCATTTTCACTTTCATTTTCGTCCTTATGTAATCAGGATGACTTGTATCATACAAAATGGGACTATCCCGCACAATTTCTATCAAACTTTCGTCAAGTTCCATTATTTCCTTAAACCCACGACGTGAAGGACACACGAAATCTGTGCGGCTGTCACAAATGAACCACGCGTGGTTGAAGACAAACTGGGCTGGCCGTGGAGTGGGTTCAATTTGCGTCACATCATCTAGAACTGCGTTTCACAGAAGAGCCCACATGTGGGCTGGGCGTGTGCTGTCCGTGTGCTGGGTTCAATTTGCGGCAGGCTTTAAACTTTACACCATTAGGCCATCTTTCCCATACAATATGATGGGATGATATCCAAGGGTATGAGAGACAGAGACGTGTATCACAATATTAAGATACCTCTTTGTAGACGTTGCAGTTTGTTTTGTGGCTTTGTACAGTACTTTTGGCCACCACCAATACGACATCCTGGGGTTTATTCCCCAGTTTTTGCAACCTAATCTGACCTGCTTAGTAGCTTGCATTTGTTGACAATGTCCAGATTTTTTCAAGAATTTAACATCCACACAGCTGAGACATGTCATATAGAAACTTAAACATTAAAAAAAAATTTAAACATTAAAAATCTAAACAGATATTAAATTAAAATTTTAACCTGTCAACATAAACACCATGAGTGTCATTAGCATGGTCTCCTAATAAGCTTAAAAAGTAAAATAATAAATAAATAAACTCAACTTAATAATTAGGGGGAAAAGTCACCAACTATGAAATGAATAGGCCAAATGGGCTTGTTCTAACTAAAACTGTGAACCACTTTCCGACCTATTCACATCCTAGCACACACAATAATATTATTTAAATGTTTAAAAATATTAACCTTGAGTGCGTAGATAATTCCGGAGCTTTTCTGAGAACATTGTACGACTTTTCCATTGATTCCCAAACCGAGGACCGTGTCGGTAATTTCGTAGTCGTCCAGAATTGAATTCACCTTTGCGTATTTGAATGCCCCCGTGTTCAACCTGAACGCAATTTCGTCCATATTTCAACAAAAATAAAATAATATACAAATACTGGTAAGAATACAACGAATTTGGGGTCGATATCAAAGTTGTAACCTTCTATTACGGGTTAAAAGAAATGAATGAGGATTGAGGATAGCTGAAGTTGAGGATTGAAGAGTAGGTATTACGCTTCATGGTACTATCGATACACACGATGACTCATTTCAGTCATTCGGTTTCACGATCCAGACCGTTTGTGGGAGAGACCAGCGAGGCAGATACATAACTCGTCTAGACGAGAAGTCTAGAATTGCAGAACATGGCCAACAGACCGGCGATTTAACAAACAAAAATTAAAAATAACATCCAAGGGTCCAATAGATCAAATTACGCCCAGCAAAATAATTATAGACACCCGATAAAAAACTTCAAATAATATGAACTTGCCATTAATTATCCCAACAAAAGTATATGCATATAATTTTTTTAAAGGTACAAATTAAGCCCCCTTACATGTAAGACTTAGAAATAAATTTACTTTTATAAACATAGTAAAGTAATAATCATAGCATCATGCAATACTTGGTTGAAAATTTATATTATTTACTTCTGTATTGTACAATTAATTTTACTAATCAACATATGTTTTATAATTCACCCAGGCTCTGAGGATGACCCGAATAAAGGTCGAAAAATGTTTCAAAAACATGAAAAAGTTGTTTTTCTACAGTACTTCATTTCTGACCGCTCCTCACAAATTAATGATCATACCAGTAATAATAATTCGCACTCTCTTAAAACCTATAAATTATTTTATATTGAATTCCAATGCTCTAACTACATGCTCTCTTCTCCTCTACACAGAATGATGATCAAGAGTAACATCTGCAATAGCATTGACTTCTTCAATAGTTCTGTGCAATCTGTGAAAAACCGTATCCTACAACCTTAGTTGAATGCTTTTATATTTCATACTGTACAAAATTATTACAATTTATTTCATTTACTGGTTCAACTAATTCTCGCACTCTAGTCTTATTATATATTTACAAAGAGCATTATTTTCATTAAATATGTACCTAATTATTGTAGTTTCAATTGTCTTTCAGCTTTATTTTGTTTCCTCTGCCTTATTTGGTTAGTAATTATGTCTATCATTTTTGTTGTTGAGTTTTTACTCTTTAATCGTATTTTTATATTTATCATTTATATTTACCATTTATATTATTACCATGTATATACGTCCTTATTCTTTTTATATATATTATTTGTATTTTTACATACATTATTTATATTTTTTTGTTATTGTAAAATGTCTTTTTTTATAGTGGATTTCGATCCGTAAATAAATAAATAATAAAATATAGTAAACAATAATTAAGGTTAATGTTAACATCAAAAGTTTCTGAACTTCTGTTAACCGCACAAGTAAAAAAAACTTCAGATCTTCCGAGCAGCAGGTAACCAATCTACCTCACAATCTCAAACCATAGTTTTGATATTGTCATATGTGCATTACATTTTTCACTATAAATTGTAGATGTATCAATTTTTTTTCTTTAAGCTGTTGCTTATATAATCTGTGGTCAAGTTTTTAAAAACTTGGAAAAATAACCAACTCTCTTGCATATATCGAATATATTTCAGGATTCACACATCCCCTCTTCAGTGATAACTTTCGCCTTGTGAGGGGATTTTCGCCTATACTTGTGATATTTCTTGTGCATCCTTCTGATAGCTAAATTCATGGTTTCCGTGGTACTCTTTTAAGTTGGTTCTCTTCCTACCTTGCCAATAGAAAACAATAAATTAAAATCCTATTATTCTTTTCCTTTTCTTGCATTCTCTGGAGCCTCCCAGGGATCACACTTAGGCCCCTTTCTACTTAACAACTTCATTAGCAATATTACATCTCCTCTTCATGACACTTTCTCCTATTCGCAGATGATTTTAAAATATTCTACAGAATCCATTCTGAATCTGATTGTGTTTACTTACAGACTAAACTAATTAACCTGGAAAAGTGGTGCATTAACAACTATATGACACTAAGCATTAACAAATGCAGAATCATTTCTTTTAGCAGGCTTAAATCTAACCTATTCTTACTTTACTCCATATATAATACCTTATTAAGTAGAGTAAAAGATCCATCTCTCATACTTTAGTCACCATATCAACCTTCTAGCCAATAGGACGAACAAATTATTATTATTCATCTGTCATTACTCCGAGGATTTTAATCACTCCACTTCCACTCTCCTGTACCCTTCTCTTGTCCGTTCCCTATTAGAATACTGCTCCTTAATCTAGCCCCCACACTACAACAACTGCATTAAATTATTAGAGCAAATTCAGCACAAATTTCTTAGGTGGATAGGCAGCAGCAATTAAATTTTATTTCGCTTGAATCTTGACGTACTACACTCAAGGCACAAAATGATATACTCCACTGAGTTACTTCAATGAATAAATTTCCACATCCCTACTAACCTAACTCTGGGAACTGGGAGTTTTTGGTGGCCCTGAAAAGGCTTCTATGACAAGATGAAAAGGGCATTGTCATCCAGAAATCGAAAATCCCTGCCAATTAGATCCCTGGTTTGAAGGCTGTATTTCTCCATAATTTCTTGGATATAACGGACTGCGGTGAGGTTATCTTCAACAATATGGAGTACAGTTCGTCCTCTGGGCGTCCTACCCAGACCATTACACGGCCTTTTCCAAACTGTACTGAACGAAGCACGCAGATTGAAGTCCGGAGACAATGGGAGAAGGGGCAGATGGGAGGGAAATTCCCAGGATTTCTAAACGTTGATGAACAACTCTCCCTCTATGAGGTCTGGCATGGTCACCATTAAACGAAAATCCCTCCCAACGAGATACGAGATGTATTCCTCGATAATTTCTTGGACATAACAGACTGAGGTGAGGTTGCCTTCAACATATGGAGTGTAAATCCCAGCCCAGACCATTACACCGCCTCCTCCAAACTGCACTGAAGGGAGCACGAATTGGGGCATTGTTCGCATCCCCTGTTCTCAGTTGACTCTTCGGCTCATGCTATCATTATACAGGCAGAAACGCAACTCATCAGTAAAAATAATAGCATTCCAATTGGTGTTCTTTTCTAGGTGCTCTTTCCTTTCCAAAACATCTTGTACTTCATGTAGGATCTGGAGGGCACTATGGAAAGGGTTTCATCTTGCAGCAATGACAATATTTCTGTCCTCCCTTAGCGTTTTAATGCGCTGAGATTCACTACCAGGCCTCCAACTGGCATTTCCAGTCTCTCGGAATCAGGCTAAATCCTCCTGGAGACCATGCTCTGAGAAACATCAACTGCTTCTGCAACCTTGCCGGCGACCTTGATAACTCATTCTTATAATAATATTGCGAACTTCTGGGTGAATATAGAGACTACAACTGCTTTAAAATGGAAAAAAGACGAGAAAAGGTGTTTATTTACAAAATGAGTGAACTTCATGTTTACTATTCTTAAGTAATTCCGTTATTAAACATGAGGATTAACGTTCCTTTGTTTTTCGTTGAGCAGGTTAGATTTCAGCAGACTGGCTAAACTTAAATGCTTAATCCTTTTAAAAAGATAGTTCCTACTCACAGTAAGTTGTTTTCTACGACCGGATTTTGAGCTTTTAGCTCATCATCAGGTTGAAGGAGTTCTACAACCTGAAAAGAAGTTTTAGCTTATCATCAGGTGGAAGGAGTTTTAGCTCATCATCAGGTTGAAGGAGTTCTACAACCTGATAAGGAGTTTTAGCTCATCGTCAGGTTGAAGGAGTTCTACAGCCTAAGGAGTTTTAGCTCATCATCAGGTTGAAGGAGTTCTACAGCCTGAAAAGTAGTTTTAGCTCATCATCAGGTTGAAGGAGTTCTACAACCTGAAAAGTAGTTTTAGCTTATCATCAGGTGGAAGGAGTTTTAGCTCATCATCAGGTTGAAGGAGTTCTACAGCCTAAGGAGTTTTAGCTCATCATCAGGTGGAAGGAGTTTTAGTTCATCATCAGGTTGAAGGAGTTCTACAACCTGATGATGAGCTATAAACTCGAAATCCGGATGGTAAAAACAACTTACTGTGAGCAGGAACTATAAGGTAGAGGAGGTATAAATAAACCGTATAATAAACTCACAGAACTAGTTATAACAATGTTTATTTGACATCTAAGTAGGTAAATAATTAGGTACAATAACAATATGGAATATCCATTGTTCTCACTTCTTTATATGGCGCATCTATTATATATATATAATAAACATAGAAATATTAAAATATTGATATATTTACAGTACTTTTTTTAACCTTTTCTTTATTAATTTATTTATAATGTAAATCATTGCTATAGTTCAAGGGCTCTTGTACAAAAAGGCATATGGATGCACAAAAAATTAATAAGTATAAATAATCAAAACTGAATTAACATAAATCACAACTATACCTAGTTGCATTAAAAAGATATGTAATACATAAACAAATATTATATTATGAATTTGATGTAATAACTTTTTATCATGATTATTTTCATATAAAGGAAAACATAAGAGAAAATTGTCAATATGAAACTAATTCATTTTTCAAATCCACTAAATCTCTTTAAATAAATGCTCACATGCATATTTTGTCAGGCGAGATAAAATGTAATAACTGATGAAGAAATAGAAAAAAAAATTAGAAAACATCTATATATGTTCACACTACATAAACATTTTCAAAACATAAAATAAATGCATTATGTTATTTATACTGAATTGTATAAATGATACGATACATCCATTCATGTCATTTATTGCTATGTAAAATTTGGACCACTTTTTATTTACATTCAAACTTTTAGATTGATAAAATGATCAAATTTAAAGAAAAAAATATATGTTCTGATCTTTTTTGTTTATTATACTATTAAATACTATATTAAATTTATAATTTAAACATAAAAACATAACATACTACATAATTTTTACATATATCAATAACAACAATACAACCTAAAATGTCTAAATGTTTTCTAATTTTTATTTTTTAATAGAAATAAAATGTCTACCCAGAAGGTTTTTATATATTTTATAATTAATATACATGTATGTACACACACATGTATGCACTGCACCGACTCACACAAATATGCACACGCAGGCACATAACAAAAACATTGTTTTTCTTTATTTAGCATCTGTTTTATTTATTCTGCATATTATAAAAATCACTATTAACATTTATCATAAAAATTTGTTATTTGATGAGATAGGATTATACACAATATATGTATTCGATACATTAATACTGATCAATGCATTTTACAAGTAAATATTGCAAAAATGTATTGTATGTAAATGTATTGCATTTTGCCAGAATAATACAATTTTAAGATCGGATTTTTTTTTAATGTAAACCATTGTCTAAATTAAAATCAAAACAAAACCAAAATGAGTTACATATAAATCATCTTATCATTTTCCAAGTTATGAAAGTATTTTAAAGTGTGCGTTATTTCACAATATTTTTGCTTTTGTCGTGTATTATGAAAGTTACACTACCACTGAATTTTCATCATATCTTTGGTTTTTACAGAAGCAATGTGCATAATGAAGTTTATATTTAAATTAACACAACAATTTATTTAAGATGTATTTTAATGTGTCGGCAATACAAATTTCAAACTCAACTTAAAACTAATGTTGTTTTAAATAAAAACCCATCAGTGGGCTATATCACACAAGTAACACTGTAAAGTCCCTGTATATCATTTTAATATGGTCCATGTCTAATTCAGGCTAAAAATCTTCCATAATAAGTTTAATGTATGTTATTCTAGTATGAGGTAAACATTTAAGTTCTGTAGCTAATAAAACAAAGAAGAAATAGTTTTGTTTATGGTTATTTTTATTTTGACTACACTAGGACATGCACAGTGTTAATATTTTAATAAATTAAGTTTTACCAAGATGCAATAATCACTAATTGAAAACTGTATCAGTACATTACAAGGATTAACGCAGCGATAACTATAAAAACGGTATGATTTAGACATTATTGATCATTTTGGTGTACATATCCTTGCTGGGTTGTCCATAAGATACGTTTTGGCATTTTGCTTGTGTTGAGTCTAGAGTTCGGTCAGATTCAAACCCAACACTAAAAATGGCGAAATGACACCTGACAGACTAACACAGCAAGGATAGGCAGACGAAAATGACTGGTAATGACCAAATTATACATTAATCATCCCACAGATCTCACGGAGAACTTTTACAAAGTAAAAATAATCATTAAAAAAAAATAAGCAAAATTTGCTGCGAGAATCTATTTCTTCTTTGTTAAAATTAGATTTTGATGAAATGTTTAATCCAATTGTGTATTAATTTTTTTATTTTACATAAATGCATAAACAATCAAATTTTCAATTTTAAATCTTCAAAGTATTATTTGTGTTGTATGTATTTCCCACTTCAAATTTATGTGTTACACATTGTACTGAAAAATATCATAAAACCCATTACCAATTAACAAAAAATATTTATCTAAATATCTTGAGTTTAGTATATTATATTAATTCATTATATTTCATAAGACAATACCAATCGTTTTAGTCTAAATGAATTATATTTATGTAATTTCGTATGTATAACAGGCATAGATTCTGAACATAAAATTAAGGACAAAGTATATAAAAGATTGACCAATTTTAGAACTAGAGTGGAAGGACAGATTAACAATAAGTAAATCAAATGAAAGGCCATAGAAGATTCTAATCTGGTTAGATTATTTAATTTTGTATTTAAATCAGGAGATTTGAGACTCACGGGCCTCATTAACTAAGGATGTTATACATTTAACAACTAATTAAAAATATATCACAACACATCAAACAAAACGAAATAATTTAAAGTGTCTAGTATTCTAAGAAATGACCTATTTAGTCAATAGATCTTTTTATTTTTTTTGGAGGTATAACTTCATCGTCCTTTTTGGTATCATGTAAGTTGGTATGTGCAAATAGGGGGAGATACTTAGTTAACAATGTTTCTAAAAATTCCTCTAATGTCATCCCATCAGCATAAATGTGACTACCAATCTGAAAATAAATCAATTAAAATAAGAACTGTAAATTTTTTTTTTTTTTAACAAACATCGACTTTTACTTACTGGGTTAAAATGAAATGCATTCTTAAATACCAATCTTATATCTCGAATAACTTGTTTAATATTAGTGTACCTACTACTTCCGTCTTCTTCTAATCTGTTTCTTATCTGGTCAAAAGACATAGGATTTTTGATAGCTTTGTGGTACTCAACGTGCTGAAACATAAATTCCCAAATTTTCATAAACATATTCAGTATAATAAACAATAAGTGTGATGAGAAAACTAAAAAAAATTATGTAACACTTGGAACAATGTGTGGTGATTAGTGAACGTTAGTCGATAATTATTCAGAAATCGTGAGATGCGGTCTTGGTGTGATGTAGGTTTCAGAAAAACATCTCCAAAAACAGTGGGCACTCTCAACACGACACACAAGAATGGCACAATTACACAGAAAACAAACACTTTGAGCCCTGAAGATGATCTCAATAAACATTGAAACGTTGACACGATAAAGAAAATGTTTTTCTGAAACCCACATCACACCAGACAGCATCTCACGATTTCTGAATAATTAATTGGAATGATAATCAGCACTTAATATTAACTAGAGGTTTCTGCTGTTACAGTCCAAAATTGCTGACAAAAATATGCTTGTTGCTCAGTGGAGACAGAGTAGGTCAACAAAAACAAATTTGTCGCCGAGAATCAAATTGATTACACGACATTTGAAAAATGGCTGAAAGGAGGGAAAATTCAAAAGGTGTGGTTGAGACGGGAAGTTGATGTCCGAGTGGATCGAGGTCACGATAGCTCAAGTGGTAGAGCAGCAGTGTATCAAGCCAAAGATCGTGGGTTCGAATCCCGCTCGTGCCATTGACTTTTTTATCTCAACTGAAAACCTTAATTAATTGTAATATATTAATTGGTCAAGCGGACCACGAAACTAGTGAATTGATTAGGTATAATAGTGATGGATTTTGATTCATGTTGCCTAGGTACTGATAGTAATTTGAAAAGATTATAATCATAGTTAGTGATCAAAGGCAGGCATAATAAAATATTTGTTCATAATGAACTTCGCAATTAACTTTTATTAAATCTTCAAATTCTAATATATTTTCTGATTTTGGTTCAAACAGTAGTCTAATATTATAAAATTTAGCGATTTCCTGAATTCCAGTTAATAATTCTTGAGAAGATATGCTGGGGTGAAGTTTTTGTTGCTTACAAAATATTATGGAGTTTTCTAAAACTTGTACAACATTCAGCATGATACATAAGTTGTAATTGATTAGTTGAATCTTTTAGTTTTTCTAGTTCGACAAAATCACTCAACTTGTTGTTTAATGCTAAAATTTTACTTTTTAGATGTTTTCTTATATTTCGACCTCAACAGTTTAACTTACGATTTTTCCTTCTCGAAGGTGGGATAATAGGTCATCTCAAAAAAACAACAACCAGTTTTTCTTTCAATCCACAACATTTCGGATTTATTTTAATCCTTCCTCAGGTGAGTTAACGCAGTGGTTAAAACAGTGGTCATCAGTCATTAATACTTTGTGACAGTTTATTTAAAAAAAGAGCCAGTGTAGTACATATTTAAGTCTTTCAGACTCCGAAAAAACGTTTTAATATTTTGAACCTGACTCTTTTTTTTTAAAGAGTTAGATATGTTATAGGAATTAATCTTCTAAAATGGTTCAGAGTTTTTACCAGAAATTTTGACAACTTGTAGGTGGGAGAGCCTATACAGCTAATAATGGGCCTATGTGGGTTGTTCTGTTTATGAATTTTCAGCAAACCGTATGCTCTTGGCACAACCCCGTTGTAGCATTTTAAGTGAATCCCTGTTGAGGGGAAACAAGTCCGTCCTTTATTAAATTACCAATTAGTATATTGTTTTTCTTTTGAATACTGGGTGTGATATCTTTTCTAGACAAAATGTAAGTATTTGTATCACTCAATAGAATTTCCATTTTGTCTTTATACTCTTTATTGTCTATGAGAACCGTCTTATTTCCTTTGTCCGATCTAGTGATTAACACATCTTCATTGTTTTTTCTAAACTCTTTTAACATTTTTACGTTTTTCTTAATCTTCAATTCGTGTCTGTCTAATGAGGTGTTGTTTTTATTTTTATTTTTATTATGAAAGTTTGTCATTATATTGGTTACTGCCGCCCTAACTTCCCCTTTCAGGTTTTCATCCTGTTCTTTACTTAGAAAAACTTCCAGTTCCCCGATTGTGTCCATGACTGTCTTGCTTGTTAATTTACTTTTCACATTAAATTTTGGTCCAACTGACAATATTTCAACTACTTCGTCCGATACAGGCTTATCTGTCAGGTTTACGACCCAGTCCTGTTGGACTTTATTGGGCTCCCTAGAAATTCTTCTGTTTCTTTCATTTAATAGGTTATCTAGTTTTTTATTCAGTTTTAATTTTCAGTCAAGTTCAAAATATTAAAATGTTTGTTCAGAGTCTTAAAGACTTAAATATGTACGACACTGGCTCTTTTTTAAAATAAACTGTCACAAAATATTAAAGACTGACAACCACTGTGTTAACTCACCTGAGGAAGGATTAAAATAAATCCGAAACGTTGTGGACTGAAAGAAAAACTGGTTTTAGTTTTTAGTACAACAGTTTTCATTTATTGTTGACAACATTAGTAAATTAATTTATAATCAGGTCGATGCAGCAAATTCACAGTTGAAATGGCTGGTCTTCAATATTCCTTTGAATACCTTTGCGATGTCCTACCGACTGCCAGTTATATGTGTTGACTAATTGTCTTTTTAAAAACTTTATTAGTTATAAACACAACTTAAAATTTGAGATGGAACCTTTCCTGTCCACGGATAAGATCGATCTGATTCTGTATTCACAAGTGAAACAGGAATAGTGGACAGGTCTTTTGCTTACACATGCTTACGATACATTCTTTGAATTTGTACAGGGGTATATCATTTGTCGCTGAATTAATAGTTTTGTACAGGTGTAACTTTATATATATTATTAGGATACAGTTACTTACATCAGGTGGTATCGGTTCTCGAAAATGAATGCTAGAATCATATTGACAATACAATTCGAGTAATATTCGTTGACAAATTTTCTTTTCTTCGGGGGACAATGAATCTCCTGTTGACTTCAACCCAGCTTCTGGCAAACATCTCAGTGATGAACATAATGAACACTGCCACGTTTCTCTGAAATTAGTATAATAGTTTTGTGTTTTAATAGCTATGCCTGTAATTTATAAATAAGTGAAATTATAATAGTTGCTTGTTTAAAGTACAGAAAAGTTAATTAAACGAATGACAAAAATTCTAATTGAAAAATCTCAATCGCAAGGAGAGTGGAGAAATATTAAAAAGGGCATAGTTTTGGTTGGGATAAGCCTAATATGAAATGAAATTAGACTAAATAAAAAATTAATTTGTACATACTTTGGAATTTGTGGTAACCTCGGGATATGACAGTTGATGTGGAACACTTTTGGACAGTTATCACAGCAGACAAGTTCCCCACCATCCATGCACACTGCACACCAATCTTCATTTGGATCTTCTTTCTGCCATTCACCTAAGCAATGTTAAATATAATTCATCGACTATTTCAGTGATTAGAATTTAAAATACAATCAGATCAAGGTTTACAAGCAAAAAGGGGAAAATAAAATACAATATTTGAAAACTGACTATATTATTTAATTAATTCATCTTTTTATGCAAGGTTTTTGGTTGAAATGAAAAAGTTAGTGGCCCGAGCGGGATTCAAACCCACGACCTTCGGCTAAATACGCCGCTGCTCTACCAGTTTAGCTATTGTGACTTCAATCTACATGGACACCAACTACTCATCTCAACCTACAACCTTTCGAATTTTCCCTCCTTTTTGCCATTTTTCAAATGATGTGTAATCAGGATTCGATGCTCAGCGACATAAGAAGTGGCCACGGGGAGCTGTTAGTGAAGTTATACTTGAACTATTGTTGGGGGGAGAGGCTTTCGTGAAAAAAAATTGAAGTAACCAACCCCCTCACCCCTATCCCACTGGTTCAAAGGTCGGTTTGCTAATTTGCCAGATGCTATCACTGAATTAAATATATGAACCTTTCTGAAAATTAACTCTCCTTTCTTTCCCTCTTCCCTTTCTTTCTTTCAAGTAATGACCCTCCTGTAGGGATTAAGAAACCCACACTAAAATAAAATAATTAAAATCATAAAAAACTGAATCAATAATTGGTAACAAACCTATTTTTAAATTCTGAATATAAGGAGCATGCACATGTATAAGGAGAAAATAACCATTCAGTTTTCTTTGAGAAAAAAAATCTTATTATTATTAATTTAACATAAACCCAATTAAATGAACTCTTATCTTGAATATAAACAAATAAAGTGAAATAAAATAAACTTCAATCTTTATAAACAAAGGGAAATTAATTGAAATTAATGTACTTAATTTTTCTTGAAGAAATAAAATGTATTGAAAATGTCTTGTCTTCAAAAGAACGTGAACATTAACAAAGGGGTAAAATAAACAAAAAATGGCAAGCTTGCATGCAATATAAAAATAATAAAGAAACTTAAGCGATGAAGATGTGAGCCCGATGTTGTCGGCGACGATCCGAGACTCAGTCCTGAGACAATAGATATGGGTAGGTGAAGCAGTATGTTGTCAACGACAGAAAATCAATACCACAATCAATAGGCCGATGGATATATGACAGTGTCTCCTCGTCAAAAGTCTGAGGACAGGCTCAATCAGGGCCAAGGGTCCGTGATAAACCGGTAATCCATAAGGTGTTTATCCTTCTAATCCTTCGGTGGTGAAGATAAAATTAAAAATAAACTAAACATTTGTTACCAGATACATGCGCAATTAATTAAACTAAAATGTAATGAAGGAGAAAGACAAAAAAAGGAAGAGAAAGATAAAAGATTGGAGATTTTCAAAAACACTGCCTTAACAACTATACTTATAATTCAAAAAGTTAGTCTCAAGTGGTAGAGCAGCGGCCTATTTAGCCGAAGGTTGTTGGTTCGAATCCCGCTCGTAGCACTAACTTTTTCATTTCAACCAAAAACCTTACATAAAAAGATTAATTAATTGAAACAAGTAATTTGGTCAATAGACCACTAAATATAATAGATTTCATAAGTAAAACGAAGTATAACTTCACTAACAGCTGGCCACTTCATATGTCGCCGAGAATCGAATCCTGATTACACGACATTTGCAAAATGGCAAAAAGGAGGGAAAATTCTAAAGGTTGTAGGTTGAAATGGGGAGTTGGTGTCCGAGTGGATCGAAGTCACAATAGCTCAAGTGGTAGAGCAGCCGGAGGTTGTGGGTTCGAATCCCGCTCGTGGCACTAACTTTTTCATTTCAACTAAAAACCTTACATAAAAAGATTAATTCATTAATTCATTCATGTAATGAATATATTATTTAAATTGATATGGTTGAAATTTTAAACACAGATCAATATTTATTTGTTAAAGATTTAAAATAACAGTTTTTAGACTCTATTAATGTTTTTTTTTCTCCAAAATTAATTATATTACCTACCTTTAGGGGGTGAAGGTTGATTTTGAAGTTTACAGGAATTTTGGGCTCTAGGGCCTGTTGAACTGTGAACCAAGCCTTCACCTTTACCTGACTCTGTATTATCTAAAGTTTTATCTAGGTTTGATAGAGTTTTAAGAACATCATTTAAGGACGCCTACAAAAAAATATCAAAGTATGAATATTTAAAAAAAAAAAGTAAATTATGTATATTACAGCAAACCAACATCTAAAAGTTATATTCTAACTTAAAATAAAGGGATAAATTAAAAGATTTACCTGGCATAGGTTATTCAGCATGTCCTCCCCTGCTCTATTATGTGGATGAGGGCTAGGTGTTTTAGGAGCAGAAGATGAAACACTAGTCGGTGTCGGAGCAGTAGGAGGTGTCCTCGATTTGGTCAACAAAATTTTGAATGAGTCGTTATGTACTTGTGATGGTTGAGTTTGAGCTTTGATGTTTGGCTGTTGATTAGAGTCTGTTTGTGGAATATGCCATGTGATATTTGGCTGAAAAAAAAATCAGGGGTAAAATTATTGAAACACCAAAGCTGTGAAAATAAGTCTTATAAGGGGACGAACAGGTTGCTGTGTCACGGATTTGGTTCAAACTTTTTTTTGATTCTGCACTCCAAAATATTGGACATGTTTCCAACACACCTCTTCCTTGAATAGGCCCTGGTTTCATTTTTTTTTTTTTTTTAATATTGAAATTTTCCATTTTTTAATGTTTTTATTTTGCCATTCTGCTTGCTCAAATAAACTATATGAATATATTACAATTAATTAAGGTTTTTTAATTGAGATAAAAAAGTCAATGGCACGAGCGGGATTTGAACCCACGATCTTCAGCTAGATACGCCGCAGCTCTATCACTTGAGCTATCGTGACCTCGATCCACTCGGACACTAACTTCCTATCTCAACCCCACCTTTTGAGTTTTCCCTCCTTTTTGCCATTTTTCAGTAAATTTGTCATATATGAATATATCATTTTACAAAATTTTATATGTAGGTTGCAATAAAAAAAGTAAAAGCTACCAAAGTTTATCAATAATCAAACAATTTCTAAAAACCAAATATTTTTCAAAGAAACTAGGTCATATTTTTTTTACATGAAACTAATATGAAATTTCGCTTTAGCACCTGTAGTGATCCATAAATACAAACTTTTGTTTGAATTTATATTTATTGATTTTTTGATTCATAGATTTTTTTGAGAACTCGTTAACAGAAAATCTCATTGAAACAGCTATAATTAAAAAACTTCTTTCTCGAATTCTTAATAAGTCGACTTAATCTGGTTAATGAAGCTTTTTTCAAAATCTGATTTTTGTTGCAATTAAATTATCAAAAATCATTATTTAGAGATTAAAAAAATATTTTTTGAGTATTAATTTCATGTTGGTAACACAAAATCAAACATGTTCGTTCTACAACACAGAATATTCTAATTTGGTATGGTTTAAAAACATAAATCAACAAAATACTGCTTTTTTAACAAATAGCAATATTTTAACAAATTTTCTGTAAGTGAAGTAGGTCAGAAAATGATCAAAACTAGGATATGACCTCATTGTTGTGATTCTAATGTTATAAAACCCTTAGATACCGACTTTCATAACAATCGGTGTAAAATAATTTTTTGACTGATAATTTCAACAACTGAGAAAACTAACATTTCTAGTGCAAGCTTTAGCATCATTTTTCTCAAAAGCTAGTGGACCAATTTCCATGATTGATAATTTGTTTTAAAGACATTGTCAGGTGCATTTTATAACTATGTCAAACATAAAATCGGACAATTATTTCCATTTAGAAAATAAGTTAATTTCTTACAGTTAATTTTGCTACGTTGTGTATTTTCTTATAGAAATATTTAAATATTTTTTAAAATATTTTTATAGTCATTAAAAAGTTAAGGTTCCTCTTTTTTTAAACAGACTGCCGTTAAAATTCTTTTAGCCATTTTTGAATTATAGCCGTTACAATCAGATATTCCGATAATGATTCTAAAAAACTGTAAAAATTTTATAGGTCAAAAAATCGCTAAATTTAAATTCATACAAAAATTTATATTTAGGGATTTCTAGAGGTGCTAAAACAAAATTTCATATTAATTTCACAAAAAAAAAAATTTTTAGTTATTGATAAACATTGATAGTTTGTACTATTTTTTATTGATTGAGATCGTTGATTTGAGCAATGGCGAAATAAAAATATTAAAAAACAGAACATTTCAACATTCAAAAATTTTTGGGGTGAGTCCACAGCCTATTCACAAGAAGGGGCGAATACATGTCTGATATTTTGGAGTGTAAAATCACCAAAAAAAGTTTGGTCCAAACCTGTGACATACCAACCTGGTCGTCCCTTTGTTATTCACTTTCTGTTTATCTGAAGACTATGAAATGGATAATATATTTTGAATAAACAAACTAATTTTAACTTACATTGTTAGAAAGTGATTGACGCAAGGCTTGCTGAGGCATTAAATTATCATGTGGTCTAATTTGTTGAGAAGCAGAAGTGCACTGTACACCAGAAGGTCCTGCAATCACTCCTTTTCCCATCTGATTCATGTGGTGAGGGGACTGCTATCAGTTAATATAAATAAATAAACAATATCTGTTTATATTTACATGTGCATATAAGTATAAATTTTCAGTGATATAATTAGATTTTTAGTATATACATATCCCTATTAGGAAAGAAATTTTAAACTGTCTTACTTCTTTTAAAACTTTAAATAAAATAGCTAAATTTTGTGCGTACCTGTCTCGGATGTGGAATCGGTTGATTAGACGACTGGTAGGCATAAACATATTGGGAAGGATCTTGTTTATATGGATACTTAATAATAACCTGAAATGAAATATTTTGTTTTAATTTTTGATAAAATTATTCCTTCTTATGAATTTGGGTTTGTACTCAAGTGATGAGCAAGGGGGCAAAACAAAAATAAGGTAAAAGATAGAGCCAATCCTGTATTCTTTTCCTGCCTTTCTTGCGATTAAATCCTTATAATTTCTTTTCATGTTTCTCCAGCCAAGTTATAATTTAATGGTAACCAACTCTCCCTTTTCTTCATCTTGTTGCTAGCCTTTCTGTACTTCACGGCATCATCAATTGTGGATAAAATAACACAAAAACAAAATAAAACTTATTAGTTTTGTCAGCATTTACTCTACCCCAGAGTACTCAATATTCCGCAGGGTAATTATGAATAAGTCCCTCCTCCATTCACGATAATAAATTAACACACCACAATTCATCCTCCCTACCGTAGAACTCGATATTTTTCAGAACAATTGGAGAAAAGCCTCTCTATTCACGCTAATAAATTCTTTCACACTACTCCAGAGTACCTATTTGGTATAACTGGGGATGAGATTCATGCTGATAAATTACATTTGTTCCAATAAATATCACATGCATACAGTTATAAAGATCTACTTTACATAAAAGGGTTTATATTATTAAATTTTAATTTCAATTTAACATATACCTTTGGTTATTTTTTGGTTAATTTTGTATAACTATTTGATGTGCTTAAAAATAACAGTATTTGTACGTGGAAAAGTAATTACATGTACTTACAGGATTTTGGAAATTAGAAGTCGATGTGACCTGTTGCTGCATAGTAGATCTTATTATCATCATTGATGGAGTAGCTGAAAATAGAAAATAGCACATAAACATTATTAACATTAATAAACTAACAGAAGTGATATAGAAACTAAAATAATTGTAGCATTACACCAAATATCAAACACCCTTAAAACTCCAATGTCAAAATAATCCTCCAATTATTGGGTGTTGCATAAGTGTTTTTGACTTTAAAAAAAAATTCAATTTTTAATAATAAAAATTTATTTGCATTTTTAATCCAAAACATAAATTATTTCAGTTTTCTAACATACCGCCATTTTTGTAGCAGAAATATGACTTTTGATAAAGGCTGGTGATTTAGATGAGAAGAAATCTGTAATACCGATTTTCAGAGTATTTTCGTTCATTAAGTCCCCTTTTACACAGTTATTTAGGGATTATTTGATTGAATATAAAAAATATATTTTGCATTGTATAAATTCACTTTTTTCCACATCCTACATGTATTTGTTAAATTTAAACAATGTTTGTAAATCCCAGGCCCTGAAGATGATCTCAATAAAGATCGAAACGTTGGCACGATAAAGAAAATGTTTTTCTGAAACCTACATCACACCAGACCGCATCTCACAATTTCTGAATAATTATCAATTAACGGTCACTAATCACCACAAATAAGTTGTAACTTTTAAGCTAATCGGTCTGATTAGGCTCATCTATGATGCATCTCTCTCCATTATGAAAACGATGGAATCACTGTTTACACACATATTCAGTTACTATATTACTGCATTTTTCAAAAATTGCAAAAAGAGGGAAAATTCCAAAGGTGGGGTTGAGATGGGAAGTTAGCGACCGAGTGGAACAAAGTCATGATAGCTCAAGTGGTTCAGCAGCGGCATATTTAGCTGAACATTGTGAGTTCGAATCCCGCTTGTGACACTGACTTTTTTATCTCAACCAAAACCTTAATTAAAGATTAATTAATTGAAAAAAATCTTTCGTAATGTTGAATATTGATCAAATATTAATGTAAACAACGGTACAATATTTTTCATAAAAATGTTCAACACACAATTTTCTTTCAGTTGCTTGGCATTTACATGTTTTTAACACCCAACCCTCACAATTATGACGGTTTAAATGCGGTTGAAAAAGGGTTAATTTGACTGAAAAATGTTGTATCACCATGAATTCCACATAAATTTCAACAGGCATCCGCCGCTCTGTACCCGAGATGGAACTTGTATAGGAAGCAATGCCTAATATGAATTTTATCTGTTTCCATGTCGTACACATCGCAGTTTATTTTAGTTTCTAGACTGACCACTGGTATCAACTACCTCTTTCTTAACAATCTCTTTCAATAGGGCTTTTCCTACCTTAGACCAAAATCCCCTTTATAAGGGTAAAAGTTGTAATTTAAAAAAAGTAATAAATAAATAAAAAACATTAAAACAAAAACTTACGCACACAGCCAATACAAATGTCAAGTTCAATACGTTAATTGTTATATTTTATTAATTGTGTATATTTATGTATACAATAAGAAATATTTTTAACCCACTTTATTACCCACTCAATATATATTTGGTCAGTTATAAATAATAAAATATTAATATAAGTCATTACCAGATTGAAATCTTGAACCAAGATTGACGTTCACAGGGTATGGTATCTGATGACGCTGAACCTGTTGAGTTCCCGAGTTCGGCATGTACATATTGCCAGGGTTCATTTGTTGAGATACAGTACTATTTGATTGAAGTTCTGTTAGATATACTTTTCCTGGATTTATGTGCATTTGATTGTTGGTAGGCACTTGGGCTAAACGTGGACCTTTTTGCTGATACTGCAGTGTAGGCATCTGATTTTGATTCTGAATCTGTTGGTATTGAATATTCTGAAGAATAGGCGCACGCTGTTGGTGTGGGGCTGGAGAAGGAGCAGTGGTATTTTGCGGCGGTGTAACTGTTTGTTGTCCAGGAGACGAACTCGGAGTGAAAGCTGTCAAGCTCGTTTCCATCCTTGCAAACTTGTTAAGTCCTGCAATCATTGCAATCACCCACATTTTATAAATTGCTATTCTGTCATGAAAAACATAACAACTCCTTAACAAAACCATGAAGAAAAAACATACCTTTGACAATTTTGTCAACATTTGGTTTTACTAGAGCAATATAGAAATTGTTATCAATTTCAGGTAAATCTTCACTTGCCTGATGAACTCTTTTTAAGTGATTAATTATGTGCCTAAAAATATTTTAATTATTATTTGAAAGTAATTAATTATGTGCCTAAAAATATTTTAATTATTATTTGAATTCTGTCTAAAATTGACAATCAGTCAAATAGTACTATACTTATAAGGCAATTCTATTTTCATAGAAACAATTTTTATACAATATTTATATCACCCCAATTTACCAAATATAGCATAGAACTGAAACAGATTATTTATTAAAATAAAGTAATTCCTGTCATACAGGAGGACTGTTCAACTACCAGTTTGGTGTTGTAGACAAGGGGTCAGAACCACTTTTTTAATACCTTGTACATATCATTCCCAATTAAAATTCCATGAAATGTGCCAAATTTTGAACCACTAGCATGGCAAATATGATTCTGATGCCCTAACCATTCAGCCACCGCAAATTATTTATTATCTAAAAAAGCAAATTTTCTCATGTTTCGTTCATGGTGTTTTTGAATTCTTTTCATAATAATTATTAACGAATAAAAATCTTAAACAATTATCATAAAACTGAATTAATTCTATATAAATAATGTACGTTTTTGCAAACATCAAAGCAGGATCTGAGCTCTTTTCAAGAGTATTTGACATGAAGTCAACGCAATGTTGAATTTGTATTCTTTTCTGTTCCAGTATTGCCTTTTTTTGGTCTGTTTCCGTTAACTGCTTCTCACACACTTCATTAATTTCATACATCAAATCAGTCCCCCCTTTACGGACGGCGTTTGTCAGCCTAAAATGAAAATTATAGTTAGTGTTTTTTTTATTTATTTAATGAAATAACGAAGAGTCAACATTTACTTATAATTAAATACTTACAATACAACTATTTCTTTTATTTCATTCAAAATTCCAGACTTAGATTCATTTATTCCTTTAGAATTTTGTTCTAATTGGTTTATTTTTTCTGATAATGTTTCACTCGTTGTTCTAAAAACAAAAACAAAACTATTAATAGAACTATTAGAAACAAAGAAATTGTTAACAGCAATCATCTTACAAAACCAACTTATTTATTTAGGGATGTAGAAATAATAATAATAATTTAGTTAAAAGACATAATAGTTCCTACTTCAGATGACGAACAATTTTCTGCATTGTGTTCCGAGTCTCACTTGCCATTTCAGAAAGGAATAAATATTTGTGTGATCTGTGATCTGCAAGCTGGCAATCACGACAGGTCATAGTATTACAAGAAGTACAATAGACTGTTAGCAATTCCTAAAACAAAGAAGAAAACAATACATGCTAGTTAGTTTCATTGTCAATTTGGGAAATTTCTTTTTGAGGACTGTACCAATGGATTGTAGCTTAGTTGTTTTTGATCATTTTGACCTGTCTGACTTGGTCCGACAAGTTTCGGATTTTCACCTAAATCAGGGGTGGGCCTATGTTAACCCCTAACTATGATGATGATAAAAGGCATTAATTAATTAATTTATGTAAGGTATTGGTTGAGATAAAAAAAGCCAGTGTCACGAGCAGGATTCGAACCAACGACCTTTGGCTAAATATGCCGCTGCGCTACCACTAGAGCTATCGTGACTTTGATCCACTCGCACACCAACTTCTCTCCTCACGAATTCGAGGTGGGAAGTTGGTGTCCGAGTGGATCGAAGTTACGATAGCTCAAGTGGTAGAGCAGCGGCGTAGTGAGCCGAAGGTCGTGGGTTCGAATCCCGCTCGTGACACTGTCTTTTTTATCTCAACCAATACGTAACATAAAGATTAATTAATTGAAAGAATATATTTAAATTTTATTGTTGGAAAATATATTTATGCCAATTATTGGTTATTAAGAGTGACCAAAGATGCAATTTTTCCAAACATCATAAATGGAGATTAATGTGAAAATAAATATTTTTCAGTATTTTACAAAGTTTAATTAATTTTGTGAAGTACAAGATTGTAATGAAAATACTTACTCTTGGATGTACTGGACAGGGAAATCGACTCTGAGGTTTTTTATCCTTGGACATTTCTAAAAATTCAGATTTGGAGCGAATAGAATGGTCTTTTGTAGGCTTAAGTTGTCGATGGGCCTTGAATGAAAAAAAATAAATAAATAAATAAAAATAAATATAAATATAAAAGTAATTAAATTTTTGTTTTTAGTTTATTTGAAAAGAGTAAAGTTCGAAGATTAGTAACTTGGGACAAAATTGGGACNACATTTTGGAAGTTGTAAGCGTTTTTATGTGGTAAGGTAGTGAAAAGTTGAAAAAACCTAAATTGACGAATATCTTCAAAATAGAGAACTTTCCGAAAATTTTCTCCTGAGCATTTTTTGCTCCAAACGAAGAGTAGAATCGATTCCCTGAGTTTCGGCAGAAGGAACTGGGATATATGTCCTCAAGAGGCAGCATGTGAATGAACTCACCATAACACACATTTCACATATGTAAGCAGAACACGTATCACACCAGTCAGTAGCTAATGTTTCAGGATGATTGCTACATTTAATATCATCTGTGTCTTCTTGTGAGTCAGTAACAAGTAGTAACTCGGATAAAAATTTGTTTTCTAAAAGGTTGTCTTTTTTAGTAATAAAATGACATTCTGGACAGCTCTTTTCTTCTTTTCCTGGAAACAAATAACACAATAAAAATAAAACATTAAAATCAAAGGGAATAAATATTCATAGATAAAAAAAGGAACAAATTTTAATTAATTACAATTATAATGTTAAAGACGGGATAAGGGATTAGATATTATGCTTAAATAGGCATTCTAAGTAAAAGTAACTCCTAGATAGTCAGTATTTTTTATCTTATAGATTAAATCATCACCATAAGCATAATAATTAGGGGACAACAAAATCGTATATTTCTACTATGTGCTATTTTAATTTAGTTTGCAATAAGTTAATAATTGATGCAATAATAATCACAATCTTCATCATTATAAAAAATTGTTTGTTTTGTATTTTTATTTTTTTAAATTTTTTTGTCACTACAGCTAACTTAAGCAAAGTTTTCATGAAAATACAGCTTGATAATTAAGAGGAAAGGGGTGTTTCCTGACAGACCCGACAATACCACTCTGTAAGGTAGGATTGTAGAAGGTAAAAAATATTGGGAATTATCTTCTTGAGTTTCCACAGAGTAAACCTGGGTGCCATACCTAGTCAAAAGCCTGGACTACTTCTAGTAAGACACACCAGCAATACCCTTTCTCACTCAAGAGAAGTCCACCACATGGTGCACCTGTTGCTCAGTGGAGTGAAGTGAGCGGAACCCAAACAGATGGGTCGGTAAGGTTATTGCGTCCTGAATCATAGGGATTAATCTTATAAGAGTTTTTCAAGAATTTTCGCTCGAACAGAAAGGAGACTGATGGGACGATAGGAACTAGGAAGTTGGACTGGAACAGAACTAAGTTGTCCGATGAAATGAGTTGCACAAGTATGTGAAGTAAAGTACGCCTTTTCTAGGTAAGTAGCACAACATTTTAGGGGTAATTAAGTTGTGGACCTTTGTTGGATAGATTTTGTATGGCATATACAATGTCCGAATGACTGAATGCTTAGGTGCACTCAGAACACTTTTCTCAATTCTGATGGTTAGATTTATGGTCTCGGGACTATCAGGCCACAGGCAGGTTCCACTCTCCCACCTACATCACTGTTGCCTTTACTAAAGATACTGACAGCAGTGAAGCATGTAACTTTGCATCAGTGAAACCGATTTGTACTTTTTGCGATTATAGTGTTAGCGGGGTTTTTGCATCTGTTAAAGTGTTAGCACCTCGGAATCGGGATTCGAAAGACGCTGGAAATGGGTAATTACACCAGAAACCAAAGAGGTCGCTGCTGTCTAGAAAGAAAAAGAAAATGAACGCCACAAATTCCTGGCATATATATTTTGAAATCCTGAATTTTATTTAATATGCTTCTTATATCTAAACACTCCTGGAACTATAATAAGAACAAACTGTGAAATTTTCAGCGAAACCGGTTCAGTAGGTTTTGCGTCTATAGTGTTCACACATACATTGTCTTTTTTTATAGTCATGAGAAGACCATTTTTTAAAACTTTTCAGGAAGAATAACTTGTTTTGAAAGATTTGTTAATCAGAAAAATAAGATTTAATTGTAATTGTAACTTTGTTTTAAATTCAAAACTTTCAATAAATCCACATAAGAATGTATGGTGGTGTTAAGTGACATTTTCTTTATCGAGATCATCTTCAGGGCTCAAAGTGTTTGTTTTCTGTGTAGATGTGTCATTCTTGCGTGTCGTGTTGGGAGTGCAATAAAGGCGAAATATTGGCACTATAAAGAAAATGTTTTTCTAAAACATACGTCACACCAGACCTCATCTCATGATCTCCAAATAATAATCCACATAAGGTTCAATAATTGTTTGGTTATTTAAAAATGTCGTGAGAAGACGAGAAGACTATTTTTTGTGTAGCTAATTAGTTTTTTGCCTTGTGCAACCGCACATCTGCCATGCCTTCAATCCAGGATGGATATGAAGCAGGGGCAACCGGACAGTGACACACCACGGAGCGGAATGGACAGCCACGCTTTCTTTGTTCCTTTTTTTCTTTTTTTATTGGCACCTGGAAGATGTAGATAAAAACCATTTACACAAAACCTATATGGAAAAGTCCACATCTCCCTATGCTTGGGGCTATCCAGCCTGGTACCCTGGAATAGTCATCTAAGTATAAACAAGTGGGGGAGACAAATGCTGAAGGAATTTGGAATGTGTAAACCGGGTTTTTTTTACTTTTGTAGTAGAAAGTATTTCGGGTACGGTGTCTACAAATGCATAGACAATTGGTGCGGCTTTTTTGTGTATTAATGGCGAGTTTCTTAATACAATATTTAGGGGTGGCTCGGCTGCCTCGGCGTGTATAGCTATGTGAGGAGAGCTTTGAAGGCACCCCAATATTCATCTCATGCATTTATTAAAGAAAATTTGAATCTTATTTAGTGAGTGCTCGTTGCCTCTTGCCCGAAAAACACTGCTCCAAATAAATCTATCATTGATCTGATAGACGATCTAAAATATAGAAGAATGTGAATGGATCTGCCACCAAAGTATAATTGCGCGTCTTAAACCGACACGTTCCTTCTGAAACCAAACTGCGTCTCAGAGAGCAGAAAGTTTTTCTAACCACCATTCAAGACGTGCTTTAATCATTCTTTCATAGGACTTTAACATACACGACATCGAAGAAATAGGGCGATAGGATTTATAATTGTCGTGGGGCTTACCCTGTTTTTTAATCAAAATGACCATTGTGTCTTTCCAAGCCTTAGGTATGGCTTTCTTTAAGCATGATTCATTGAATATGCCTAGTTGGGCTATCTTGGCAGATTTAGGTAATCTATAAATCATAGAAAATTGAATTAGATCAAATCCTGGATCTATATTGTTCCTGTTTATTTGTTTTTTAATTTCTATTCAAAATTTTGTAAAAAAACTTCTGTGAGTATGGCTTATAACACACGTGGGCTATCTTGGCAGATTTGGGTAATCTATAAATCATAGAATATTGAATTAGATCAAATCCTGAAGCTGTATTGTTCCTGTTTATTTGTTGTTATTTTGTTTAATTTCTCTTCAAAATTTTGTAAAAATACATCTTCTGTGAGTATGGCTTATAACAAACAAGGCTGTAGAGAGGCGAACAGCATTTTCAAGAGCGCGGGAAAAGTGGTCTGAGAGAAGGGAGGAGTGAGGAGTGAGGAAGATTTTAATTTTGAGTTTGGTATGGATCGTTCATCGGCTCTCACGTGGTGGTCAAAATCGAAGAAAGAAAAAAGAAAAACATCTTGAAGAAAGAAAAAATATCTCGAACAAAGGAATACGTCTCAAGAAAGAAAATTCAGCTACCAACCTTTAATTCCTGTTTTTATCGATTTTTTTTTATAATTTCGTTTCTTTGCTTTTAAAAAAAACATTACCTTGTTCGTTAACCCATTTTTTTTAAATTGACAAATCCTTGTTTCCGAGTAAGATCCATTACATTACATTACTCCGTTTCGCGAGCACGATTGACCGCGTTTTCTTCGCTTGTTTGTTTTTCCCATTTTTACCAAATTTTTTGCCTTGTTTTATGCTCTGCTACCACTATTTGTATTGGATCTTTCTCGGAAACAAGGTATGGTATGGTAGAAAAGGATACTAGGAAGCGGGTTTGTACTCCCCAGCCACTACAGCCTTCTGGCTTATTGTACCTTCCTAGTTCCTTAGTTCAATCAATAGACTCAATCCTTCTTCTTAGAAATATCAGGTCATTGACTGTTGCTCCTGCAATTTCATTCCCTGTTTTTTCCGTACGTTAGGTTAAACCTCCATTGAGCTATTGCTTTGCATTCGAAGATGATATGAGTGGCTGTTTCCTCCTCATTACATACTCTGCAAATGGGATCATCGCTGTATATACCCATGTTATGTAGATATTTTCTCAGATGCTAGTGACCGGTTAGTAGTCCTACCACTCCTCTGAGTTTGGCCCTCTCCAATTGCAGCAATGTTTTTGCCAGTCTCGGTGAGGGTTGTTTCATCATAAGTTTACTATGTCTAGCACTGCTAGAGTTTATCCATTTCTCCTTTTGTTTTGCTTGGATCCATTCTGCGATGGAGGATTCTATATTTGTTTTTGTTATCCCAAGAATAGGTTCGGGGCCTATGTATGGTCTTGCAGATCCTCCTCTGGCCAGACTGTCTGCTTTGTCGTTACCCAAAATTCCCCTGTGCCCTGGCACCCAAGATATCAGGTTGTTGTGGTTTTGGAGTTTCGGATGCATTCACTGACTAATTTGGATGAGATTCTTTTACATGCTAATGCTTTAATGGCTGCTTGGCTATCTGATCTTATGAGGATTTTTTTGTCAGTGTAACCTCTTTTAAGATTTTCCAGGGCACAAGCATTGATGGCATGTATTTCCGCTTGAAAGACCGAAGTGTACTTCCCTAATGAGTTTGATAGCTCATGTTTTGGGCTTGTACAGAAAACGCTTCATCCGGTTCCTTCGTTTGTTTTGGAGCCATCTGTGTACCATATCATTGTATCTGATGCTCTCCTGTATTCTTCCTCTCCTTTATAATCCATTGAGACTTTATAGGAAGTTGTGAAGATTGTTTCCGGGATCATATAATCAGTCCCCATTTCTAATAATGGGTGTCTGATTTTGTTGATTATGGTTGTATGCCATTCCAATTTAATTGTTTCTGGAGCCTAAGTGAGCTTTTCCTAGCCTCTCCTTGTGGAGGTAGGTTTAGCACACCATAAACGGAAAACCATGCTAAATATCCGAAAAGTAAAAGTAAAATTTAAGAAAGTGAAACTCCACAATATAACCTTTGAGAAACTGCTTGCAGGGAGTGCTATTACTGACTTTATGGTCCTTGCTGGTAGACGACCTTCTACATAAGCTAACAAAAAAATGCTTTCGCATACAACAGTATAATATGACAGGGGAGTTGCGGATTCATACATATTGGATTTGAAGTACAGATTATCTATTGCACGGAAATAGTCCTTTGCTTTTCCCTTTCACTTGAGTCGGGACGGTCACCTCAGCCTAATTTTTGCTAGGGTAATTGTTGGTTGAGGTCGCCGAG